ATTTGCCATGTTAAACTAGAAATCTGATGACATGCTTTCTGTAAAATACTTTCTTTTTTGTGGTGCTAGGGATTGAACCCTGAGGTGCTCTACAACTGAGCTACATCCCTACCCCACCCACTTTTTAAAATTTTCAAACAGGATCTCACTAAGTTGCTAAGGCTGGCCAGGAACTTGCCATTCTCTTGCCTCAGCCTCCCAGGTTTGGGATTACAGGTGTATGCCATATAAAGAAAAATATTCCTGAGACTCTCAGTATAATTAACCAAATTAAAAAGTTAATCATGTATTAATTTCTTTGATAATATTTTTCTTATTTTCTCAGAATGTTTTATTAAAAATATTTTCCCCTCTAATTCCCTCTGTTTTGAGGGATATTACTTTTTCTGATTTGAGAAAAGGATCAAAATTAATATTTGTACTTACTGTTTGTCATAATTTGGGTATTTTAGACATATTAGATCTGTTAGCTGGGTGCAGCTAACCCATACACCTGTAATTCCAGCAACTCAGGAGGCTAAGGCAGGAGGATAGCAAGTTCATGTCCAGCCTTGGCAACTTAGTGAGACTTAAATGTGGCTCAGTAGTAGAGTGCCCTGGGATTATTCCCCAGTACCACAAAAAATGGATGGATGGATGGGTGGGTAGGTAGGTATGTGGCTAAGTAAATAGATGAGGTAAGATAGTTCTTCACATCTCTGTTAAGTAGGTAGCATTCCCAATTTGAGAAAATGCATCAACTTAGTCATTTTCTAAAGATCACTTCTATGTAGTAAATAGCAAATACAGGCTTTGCATCTAGTGTTTCTGATTCTGTAGTTTTATTTTTCTCTTCAATTACAACTTTAATAGTCTTTCATTTATGTGTAAGAATATTTTCAAACATAAAAGCAGGGAGATATAACACTTAAGTGTGAACCCTAATATAAACCGTGGGTTTTGGTCGCTGATATATTCATGCAGGTTCATCACTTGTAACAAATGTAGCATTGTAGTGAGGAATATTGGTATTGGGTAAAATCCCCTCTGCTATCTTCTATTACTGAATCCTACTCACTTCCCTTATAAGACCTGCTACTGTTTGTATTTACTTTGTTTACTTATTTATGGTCTGAATTTTTTAATAGCTCGATAACGTCCTAAGTTCGTTAACCATGTCTGATTTGTGCACGTAATGTTAAAACATAGCAGAAAAGTCAAATATTTTCTGATTTTTTTGGTACTGGAGATTGAACCCAGGAGTGCCTTACCTTGAGCTACATTCCCAGCCCTTTTTTAAATTTTGAGAGAGGACATTGCTAAGTTGCTGAGGCTGGCCTCGAACTGTCTCAGCTCCAAGTTGTTGATTACAGGTGTATGCCACTGCACTGGCAATAAATTTTTTCTTAATGGGGAAAAAAAAGCAAGGAGAGACTCATTAGTAACCCACCATGTATTTATCAGCCAGGTATCAACATTTCACCCAATTTTTTTTTCAAATATTATGCCATTTTCTTAACCTGTAAATATTCGTCAGTATGCATATCTGATATGCATTGAAAAAATAAATTGTGTCATTATCATGCATAACAAGATTAAGTAATTTCTTAATATAATCTACATCTAGTAAGCAAGAACTTTTCTCTGGTTGTCTTGATATATTTTTACATTTGGTTTGTGCAAGCCGGGCATGGTGGCTTGCACAAATCAAATTGTAATTGAGGTAGGAGGATCATGAGTTTAAAGCCAGCCTCAGCAACTTAGAGAAGCTCTAAGCAATTTAAGGAGATTCTGTCTCAAAATAAAATATTAAAAAAAGAAGGGGCTGCTTGGGCTGGGGATGTGGCTCAAGCGGTAGCGCGCTCGCCTGGCATGCGTGCAGCCCGGGTTGGATCCTCAGCACCACATACAAACAAAGATGTTGTATCCACCGAAAACTAAAGAATAAATATTAAAAAAAAAAAAAAAAAAGAAGGGCAGGGCGACAGCGGGGCAGCGCCCACCCGCTTAAAAAAAAAGTGGGGGGGGGCTGGGAATGTGGCTCAGCAGTTAAGCACCCCTGGGTTCGATTCCTGGTATCAAAAACATTTGGTTTGTGCAGACAGTGTCCAAATAGTGTCCACACATAACACTTAATTGCTATGTCTCTAAAGTCTTTTTTAGTTTGTAATAGTCCTCTTTTCCCCCTTTTCTTTACTACTATTTTGTTGAAGAAGCCACGTTATTTCCCGTAGAATATACCATGTTCTTGATGTGGCAGATTGCCGCTTTGTAGTTTCATTTTACTGTTCTACTCTCTCCCATATTTCTTACTTTTTTTAATAGGTGGACACAGTATTTTTATGTGGTGCTGAGGATTGAACCCAGTGCCTCACACATGCTAGGCGAGCACTCAACCTCTGAGCCACAACAACCCCCCCCCCCCCGCCCATATTTCTTATTAACTGGAAGTTAAAGCTAGAGATTTGATTATATGTGGGCTTATTTATGGACAGTACTTAGTTTTGTAATAATACTTCCTAGTGCCACTTGTATTTTCTGCTTCATCAGGAGGAAATATAATGGGTGATGCTAAGAGAAATAGGTGTTATCAGCTTGATCTGTCCATTATAAGTTCCACTGCCATCTGCATATAACCTAATGATTTTAGCTTTATGATCATTGTCTAGATCTGATATTTCTTTTTTTTTTTTTTAAATGTTTATTCTTAAGTTTTAGGTAGACACAATATCTGTATTTTACGTTTATGTGGTGCTGAGGATTGAACCCAGGGCCTCATCCATGCTAGGTGAGCACTCTACTACTGAGCCACAGCCCCAGCCCCTAGAGCTGATATTTTATTAGGTGTTGTTTGTGGTGTATTTTCTAATTATATTATTCCTTCTACATTTATTAGCTGTAACTCTCTAAATGGAGAACTCTCTTTTTTAACTCTTAGTTACTTGAAATCAGAGGAGACAAGATTAATGATTGATTTTTTTTGTCCCCTTTATCAGTTTTCAGAATAATGAGTTTATGCCTTAGCAATTTCCATTGGTGATTGATGGAAGAGTGTTTTTTGAGAGTCATTATAAACCAAGACCTATTTATATAGTTGATATGTTTCAGTGAATAGCAGTCATTATTCATTTTGAATCAAATTGATCCATTAGTATCCCTATTAGTCTTTTATTTCCAACACAAGATGTTCCAGGCTCAGTTTGTACATTTTCTTCTCCAGATAGAATCAGCCATTTTTCTAAGGAACTGTTTTAAAAATGAGAAATAGTTTTTAGAAATAACAGGCTAAGGTACTAGGGATTCATTACTATTGTGTTGTCTTTGTCCTAGGCATTTTCTGTGAATAGAGCTAGGAAAACATTTAGAAAGAGAAAAATAAATCACGAATTCATACATTTCTCATTAAAATGTATGGATATTTGTGTGTTTATTTGGTACTGGGGATTGAACCTAGGGGTGCTTTTATCATTGAGCTATATCCCTCGTCCTTTTTATTTTGAGATAGGTCTCATTATAAGTTGCTGAGGGTCTCACTAAATTGCTCAGACTGGCTTCAAACTTCAGTACTCCTGCCTTGTCTCCTCCTGCATTGCTGGGGTTACAGGTGTGAGCCACCACGCCCTACAAGAATTTTTATTTTTATTTATGTATTTATATATTAGTGCTAGGAATTCAATTTAGGGTTCACACTTGCTAGGCATTTACTTTGCCACTGAGCTATGTTTCAAGCTCAGAGTTTTGTTATGTTTTTTCCTTAACTTCTCTGACTTTAAACTTGTCTATCATTTACTCATACTAAAACAGTTGGGACCAGAAGTGTTTTTCAAGTGTTGGAGTTTTGGAGATTTTGGAATATTTTCATAGACTTTATCAATGGAGGAAAATAAAAAAAATTTCGAAGCATTTTGAATTTCAGATTTTTTAATTAAGGATGCTCAACATGTATCTATATATATATGGCACACATATATATCAATATACATATGTATATATGTTTTTTAAAAATTACTTTTCTATAATAATTTTTTTTTTCTGTACTGAGGATTGAACCCAGGGGCACTCTACCACTAAGCTACATCCTTGGCCCCTTTGATTTTTTGAGACAGGGTCTCACTATGTTGTGTATGCTGGCCTCAAACTTGAGGTCCTTCTGCATAACTGGGATTACAGGTGTAATCCTGGCAGTAGTAAATATTTTCAAATTGTATATTTAGTATATGTTATAATGTATATACATGTATGTGTGTATATGTATATATTACACATATCTATATTTTTTAACCTTTTGTAAGGATAGGTAGAATGTGTTATAAACACAATTTTGCCCCACATTTTCTCTTAATAGTGTATTCTGGAGATCAATCCTTTAAACAGCTGCAGGATAATCTATTGTGTGGACAGCCACACTTCTGGTCCCAACCACTCACATTCATTCACTCTTCCTTTTAAATTCTAATTGTGTGGCCAAATCTGATGAGAGAATTTAATATGATTGAAAATTTAACAATACTGAATTCTCTATTATATCTTTAGACTGGTAATCAAGAGTGAATGAAAGTTTTCATAAAATGATTTTTTTCTCACCCGGCATCCTGATTTACTTTTAAACTTGGACTGCTTTTGATTTGAAGTATTTTAAATTTATTATAAACTTTCAGACTTTTTTTTTTTCTGTAATAGGTATTTAATCTATATTTGGTGCTTTCCTTTTTTTTTTTTTCTTGTCTTTCCTGAAGAGGAAGTATTTATTTGTCATGATTATAGTGTGATATGCCCAAATCAATATAAGTCTTACATGAAAATTTTTGTCTTTGCTTTTTCATGGCCTTGGACCTTGGGGTTATGCATAGGAAAGTCATAGTTAACATGAATGATATTAGATTCTATGTTTGTTAGACTAAAAAGTGAATTTTTAAATTGAGAAAACATTGCATTAATGTCTATCTTTTTGCTGTTGTAATTTTTACATTATATACATATGATTGTTCTCTTATTAATAGTAATATTTTCTCTTGAATCAGATGTTCTGCCTTACTCAATACGGGTTCTGTTGGAAGCTGCTGTACGAAATTGTGATGGCTTTTTAATGAAAAAAGAAGATGTTATGAACATTTTAGACTGGAAAACCAAACAAAACATTGTTGAAGTGCCCTTTTTCCCTGCCCGTGTTCTTCTTCAAGATTTTACGTGAGTCATTGGTTCATTTTATGTGAATGAATTTTTAGAATGTTCCCTTTTAAAATTCAGATTTCCTGATGTATGGATTTATTTTTAATTATGAAGTTTATAAAAGTTTCCCTTTCCAAGCTGAAGCCATGTAATAAAAATCAGGCACATATTTCTCATGCCATTTATTCCAAAACTGCTTTTCCTTAACTACCTGCTTGTCATCTCTATGTAGCTAGTAGGTTTCTCAAACTTAACATATCCAGAACTTGATTTCTTGACTGTCCATATCACCTATCCCTTTCTATGTCTTCTCTCTCGTAGTAAATGCTACCATAGACTCCCAGTTTTTTTAGGCTTCTAATCTAGGATTAGTTCTGATTCCTCTCCTTCCTTGCACCCTATTACCAGTCTTGTCAGCAAATTCTATCATTGCTACCTTAAAATATATCCTGTGTCCAAATATTTTCTACCTCTCCATCACTGTTACCCTGGTTCTAGCCCCATTTTCTTTTACCTGGACTACTAGTACTGTAGTCTCTTACCTGGTATACTTGCCCCCACACTTGCAGCCTGTAGTTGGTTCTTTACATGGTATATGGAGTGACTTCATTAAAAATGTTAATCAGATTATGTCATTCCTCCAGGTACCACTTGATTTCCATCACACTTAGAATAAAATCTGATGTCTTTAGCCTGAAAGACCTTGCATGGTCTGAGGTGTCCCAAGAATTATTTATTGGAATAATGTACCTGGAGCTAAATTTCAAAGGGCACCTAGGATTTTGCTAGAGCATCCCCTTTGTCCACCCACCTAAGTCTGATCTGTGTTACCTCACATATGCTTCTATTCTGTAATCATTGCTCTTTCTTCCCTATTAATTCTTTAAGAGCCAAAACTATTATTTGACCTCATTCTTATGATATCTATTACAGTGAAGGCATTTAGTACATGCTTGTTACATAGTTGCCTGGATATTATGGATGGATGAATATAAGCAAAAGTTATTGGGGGGGGCAGTTATTGTGGATAGCTTTGAGATTATAAGAGGGAACCACAGGACAAAGGGGCTTAGAGCTAGGGAAAAGGGAGGGGCTGTCAAAAAATTGGAGGAAGAAAAGAATTCCACAGGCACCTCCAAAAATCATCTCTTCTTATTTTTGCCTCTTTTGTCCCTAAGCACTCAAATTCTCAGATAATAATGTTAATTCTCATTAAACCAGGGGACAGCTAAATTGGATAATGAGTATATTTTCAAAAATAAATACTAATAAAGGATACTTTTTAAAAATAAAAATGAATAAGTACATGTTAATTATTATTAAACTTTTTATTTAAAAAAATTAGAATTGTAATTTGATATTCTTCTTCTTTTTTTTTTTTTTTTAAGTGGAATACCAGCAATGGTGGATTTTGCTGCTATGAGGGAGGCAGTGAAAACTCTTGGAGGTGATCCTAAAAAAGTCCATCCTGCCTGTCCGACAGATCTCACAGTTGACCATTCTTTACAAATTGACTTCAGTAAATGGTACTTTAATACAGATATTTATAATAATGACAGTAATGCAAGTTTTGTGGAAGTATAAAATATCTGGGAAGGCAATTTATGCCAGAGTAAAGCATGCTTCATTTAGTATTGACTAGTATATTAAAGGAAAACTTGTGGAAAGTTTATGAATTGGTGAAATTTTCTGTACTCATAGTTTAGAACTATTTTCATGTTTGTGTATTTTTGCTGCCATATTTGATAAAAATATACAAGCTTACAACCATCTTTTTTTTTTTTTTTTTTGAGTGAACATCTGAATTAAGTTTTCACTTTTTGTTTTTTAACCTGTTTACCTTTCAGAGAGAATCTAAAGATTTGTCTTTAATTGGTGATTAAAAGCATTGAGCTTACTAAAGCTCTTTCTTTCCACTGAAATAAGTGGAATATTTACATAATATTTATAAGGCTCCTTTGACCAAGGGCAAACAAGAAACCATATTTCTGTTCTCATGCATTAGTCTTTTACATTCCTTGCAGTAGCAGTATAATATTGCAATTTATTATAACCCGTGAGAGTTTTTACACTCTATTATTAAAACTATTGGCTCTGTGCTTCTCAGTTGTTAGAAAGAACTATATTGGCACTTGCTAGCAAGTTATTTAAATTGGTATATATAAAAATGACTATATGGGGCACTTAGAATTAGTTTTTATCTCCATAAATATAAATTATAAATGAAAACAATTTATCTGAAATTTGCTTTTAAAACTTGAGTTAAACAATAAGTGTTAGCCTTCAAACATCATTCATTTACTTCAGATAGCATGCACTTTTTGAAGAGCTAAATTTCTGTTACTTCTAAATGGTTTTGTTTCCTTTTGGGGATAATAGTGCAATACAGAATGCGCCAAATCCTGGAGGTGGTGACCTACAGAAAATAGGAAAGCTTTCTCCACTTAAAATGCAGCCTAAGAAGCTTCCCTGCAGAGGCCAGACTACCTGCCGAGGATCCTGCGATTCTGGAGAACTAGGCCGAAACTCAGGAACATTTTCTTCACAGATTGAGAATACACCCATCCTATGTCCTTTTCATTTGCAACCAGTGCCTGAGTATGAGAATGTTTTTGTTAATATTTATTACTGCCAGTTAATTTTTATTAATAATAATAAATATTGTTAATATTTTTTAGTGCTAGTTATTTTTCAGTTAAGGAAATCACTTTTATTTTCCCACCCAATTGCTGTTATATTGTGTCTGCATTTATGTGCTGTATTTCATTTCTATTGTACTGAAAGAAGCAAAGTTTAAATTAAATTGTTAGTCTCTAGCTGGGTGTGGTAGTGCATTCCTGTAATCCCAGTGACTAGGGAGGCTGAGGCAGGAGGATCGCAAGTTCAAGGAGTTTAAATAATTTTGTAAGATCCTTGATAACTTAGCAAGACACTGTCTCAAAATAAAAAATAAAAGCCAGGTGTGGTGGCCCATGCCTGTCATCCCACTGGCTCAGGAGGTTGAGACAGGAGGTCACAAGTTTGAAGCCCGACTTAACAATTTAGTGAGGGCCTAAAGCAACATAGACCCTGTCTCTAAATAAAATATAAAAAAGGGCTGGGGATATGGCTTAGTGATTAAGTGCCCCTGGGTCCAATCCTGAGTAACCCTCATCCCTCACCCCCCACCCCATCAAAATTTTTTTTCCTGTCCTGGGGATTGAACCTAGGATCCTACAGTATACAAGCATTCTACTACTGAGCTATATCCTCAACACAGGAAGTGACTCCTCAGGAGGTTGAGACAGGAGGTCACAAATTTGAAGCCAGATTGAGCAATTTAGTCAGGGCCAAAAGCAACTTAGACCCTGTCTCTAAATAAAATATAAAAAAGGGCTGGGAATGTGGCTCAGTGGTTAAGCATCCCTGGGTTCAATCACCAGTACCAAAAAAATAATAATAAGAAGAAGATTCAGCCATTTAGCCATGAATTTGTGTGTCTGTGTGCACATGCGAGTGCTAGAAATTAGATAGGGAAATGCTCTACCACTGAGCTATATCCCCAGCCCTATGTATCACTTTTCTGACTAATGTAGATAGAAAATGGGATCTCATTTTAAACTGAATTTCTTATATTAATGAATTTGTACCATTGATATGTTCCTTCATCATTTGTATCTTTTTTATGAATCCTCTATATTTAGCCCCCACACACACAGAGGATTTCAGGGTTTTTTTTTCATGCTGAATCCAGAGTATTATATTAGAATATGACTATTATCACATATGTTATAAACCTAATGAGCCCTTTTAGGGAAATATTTTCCTGTATGGTATCATTGAAAGTAGTAAACATGCCTAGAAAAGAATCCTGTTCTTAGGATTTAGTTAGTTTCCTAATAATTTTTCAAAATAAGAAGTTCTTTGAGTTGAATTTTTATGTACTAAAAAGTTTCCAAATTTTTATTCTTAGTTTTAAGAGAGAGTTCTACTGTTTATCCCATTATTAATAGGCTATCAGAATTTTTTTAATTTAGTAAAAAATTATACTTCCTGTTTTTAAAAAAAATAACATTTGGAATAACTAAGAAAAATGTCCACTCACACATATTTTAAGTGCCAAATAATATATTAGTTTGTTTGCCCCTGAATTGGATTCTTCAAGTTCTATCCAGTTCAAAAATTTTGGGTTCAACATTTTTATAAAGCCTCAGGTTATAGTGATTTCATGTGCTCTTCCTAAGAAGTCACTATAATCTATGAGTCCTTCCCTATGAAATTATGGTAGTTTTATGTAATCACTCTTTATTCCTGCTACTTGCCCTGATTGTTAAGATCATGTTGACTTTTAAGATTAATGCCAGGGCTGGCGTGTAGCTCAGGGGTAGAGCACTTGCCTAGCCCATGTGAGGCCCTGGGTTTGATCTTCAGCACTTCATAAAAATAAATAAAAAGGTATTGTGTCCATCTACAACTTAAAAAAAAAAAGATTAATGCTACATATATAGAAGTTAACTTTCTGAAAAGGAAGATTTATTGATTCAAAATCATTGGTTTTTTGTTTGTTTTGTTGGTGCCAGGGATTGAACCCAGGCTCTGATGCATATTAGGCAAGCATTCTGCTACTGAGCTATATCCCCAGACCTTACTAAAAATCTAACCAGGTGTATCATTTTCCCTCAATTTTGACTCTAAATTGCAAAGTATTATATAGTAGTGGCTGGGAGTGTGGAAATAGTAACACTTTTGTGTTTTTTTATGCATCAGTGAAGTATTAATTATAGGTTCAACTAAGAAATTGAAGGGTAAAAGGTGAGAATTTAACATTTAGCACTTGAAACCACTTCTCAGTTTGAATTGAGGTTACGAGCTAATAAATGTTTTTATGGCACTTTGTTCCATAGTGCTGTGGAAAGGTGAAATACTTGGAGTAGCCCTAGAAAGCTGTGTTCCCCGAGGTCCTAAGAAAAATCTTAAGATGTAGTGTAGCTTCAGTGATCACTCAGCCACGAATTATTAAAATAATCTTTGCCAAAAAAAAAGTTGACAACTATGGGGCTGGGGTTTTGGCTTAGCGGTAGAGAGTTCAACTAGCATGTGCGAGGTGCTGGGTTTGATCCTCAGCACCACATAAAAATAAACAAATGGAGTAAGGGTATTGTGCCCAACTGTAACTTAAAAAAATACATTTTTTTTTTTTTTTTTTTAAAGTTGACAATTAAACAACTCTTTATCATCTGGATCCTGGAGGACATGTATAATTTAAATTATATTGGTATTCTAGTTAACAATTAGCAGCTGATGATCAAAATAAACAAAGCAGCTTGAAATCTTTTAAAATCTATTAGATAAAAATACTTTGCTAAACATTACTACAATTACTCAGAGGTAAATTTTTTTTTGGTCTTTTAGTTTAAATAACTTGTGTAAACTATTTTTATAATACATGTACATTAAATTGCTACTGAAGAATAGAGCCTTTCATTTTGGATGAGATGAATAAAAGGTTTTTTCTGAAAGCTCTATTTTAAACTATGAAATGATGTTCAGGTGTTGTCATTGTCAACATTTATCTCCCGATTTAACTGGCACAAGAGCCAGGTAGGTGAGAATGTTTGTGTTTATTGTTGAGTAAGCTACTACCCTTCTGTTTGATTGCATTGGAAAACCCAACAGTGCTTACTGTTTTATTTTTATTATGATCTAGACAAGTCTCTCATAATAATGTATTTTAAGTATAGTTTTAAACACTTGACTCCTTTCTATAGCTGTCTAGTGTGTTAGGTAAAGCAGAACTTTGTTGAGAAGAAATTTTGAGAAGTCTAGTAAGTGGTTCTTCCATGGGTAATTTTTAATGTTTGCATAAGTATGCATAAGAATCAAGACTTAGAAACAAAGTAAGTCTTTCTTATAATATATGCACCTAATACCAGCTTTTCTTGCTTTTAGACCTGAAACAGTATTTAAAAATCAAGAAGTAGAATTTGGCAGAAATCGAGAGAGGCTTCAGTTTTTCAAGGTATAAATGATTTGAAGAAGTTTTTGTGTTGACATTTATAAAATATTGATAAGTACAATTTTTATATGTGGGCTAGTGGTTTTAAAAGATTTTATGGTACTAGAATTGTTTTGTTCCTACCAAAACAATAAAATTGTAAAATCCTATTGGATACCCCAGTATATTAAAATGAAGATGGAGCACTGGCTTGGGATTCCTTGTATATACCTTGGGCCTTCCCAAACTCTTTTCCCTAAAATCTTTGGAACACAATTAAATACTACTATATATCTGGAATATTTGAACATTTTCTTTGACTTAATTTGGTTTTAATAATTTACAAAATGAATGTTTTTAGGTTCAGATTTTGCATATTTTTTTTAATATGTACTGTAAACTTTGAATTGGCCTTGTTGAATATTGGTGAGCATATTTTAGTATCTATTTATATCTTGATTATGAATATAAGCTCATATGATATACTAATATTTGTATTTCTTGAATCTAAATAAAACATAGTGGAGTTCAAGAGTTTTTAAGAATGTGGCTGTCATCCCTCCTGGAACTGGAATGGCTCATCAAGTAAACTTAGAATATTTGTCGAGAGTGGTATTTGAAGAAAAGGATCTCCTTTTCCCAGACAGTGTAGTTGGCACAGATTCTCATATAACCATGGTGAATGGTTTGGGGATTCTTGGGTGGGGTAAGTAAATTACCAAATACATTTAATTTCCTTTTGGGAAGGGCTGTTAGTAACATTATCAAAGAACAAATAGCTTGTCTTCATAGCTTGAGGATCTGTTTTTTTTTTTTTTTAATATCAATTATAGCAGCAGCAACAACAAAAACATCTAAATTCAGGGAGTTTATCAATTGTGTGGTAAAAAGAGGATTTGTGAAAAATTTGCACAGGGCCAGCACAGTACTACCATTTGGGAAGTAATTGCAGTGATGATGCTGAGGAGGTGAAGGGGCAGTGTGGCAATGTTGATGTAGCTAGACTTGTTAATCCTTATTTAAAGTTCTTCAGCAGCTTCTCCTGGTTGCCTTTATAAATCTAGATTCCTTAATGGCATTTTATTCAAGCCCTTCACAACCTGTTGCCCTTTTGACCATTCACCTGCACCCATCTTAGAGACTATTTATTTTATTTTTATTTTGGGGATACCAAGGTCACTCGACCACTGAACCACATCCCCAGCCCTATTTTGTTATTTTATTTAGAGACGGGGTTTCACTGAGCTGCTTAGCACCTTGCTTTTTTGCTGAGGCTGACTTTGAACTCATGATCCTCCTGCCCCAGCCTCCCAAACTGCTGGGATTACAGATGTGTGCCACCATACCCAGCTGTTTATTTTATGTTTTGAGACTAGTTATTTATTACCCTGAATGGGTTGTGCTGTTTCATACCTAATGACTTTGGTGACCACCCCTTTTATTGCTGAAATATGGCTACTATTAAATCTTACTTTAAGATTGAGCTCTGTTGTTTCCTGAAAGCCTTAACTCCTCTCACTGAATTAAGAATGTCCTAGTCTGTACTTATTCTTTTATAGGGTGTTACAATGGTTGATTTTTTTTTTTTCTTTTTCATTAGATTGCTTTTCTTAACATTGACGGGATGGTATGAGTTGTATTCATATCTGTGCCTTGAGCATAGTACAGTGTGCATAGCATAAATACTAAATATTAAATTTAATATAAAGGCAAAAACATCACTTCTTTAAACCACATGCATGGAGTCATTTTTTTGAGACGGTCAAAGGTTCAAGTCCACAGTAACAGCAGTGTAGCAGTGTTCTGTAAAGTACTGTGTAAGTCAAGCTTGTGAAACACGTGGAGATTTAAATGTTACAGAGCAAACTTCATCTTTAAATATACTCTACTAATAAACCTATTCTTATCACTAGGAGTTGGAGGCATTGAAACAGAAGCCGTTATGCTTGGTTTGCCTGTTTCTCTTACTTTACCCGAGGTGGTTGGATGTGAGTTAACTGGATCATCCAACCCTTTTGTTACATCCATAGATGTTGTTCTTGGCATTACAAAGGTAAGTTAGAGTTGTAGCACGTTTATGACTTAGGGGACTTTATTTTTTCATAGGTGGAGGAGTCCCACAAGAGCAGAGATTTTGGTTAATCCCTCTAACCTTAGATTTTACATTATTAGCCACATCATGGTATTTATCATTATAGTAATAAAAGCAGACATGTAACATTTAATCTGTAGTAGTAAGTACAAAAAATAGTCATTATTTATTTGACATACTATCTCATTTAGTCCTCATTATAAGACCAGGAAATAAATATGTTTTTATTTTAAATAAATACTATTTTTATTATAAAGATTAACTCATTAATGATACAGATTAATGGGTTTCACTGTGACATTTCATACCTGCATATTATCATATTCACCTTCCCTTTTACTGTTATATCATCTTAATTCGAGAAAACTAAGACACATGAAGCTCACTTAACAAAGGTTCCTAAGGACAAAAGGGTTAAGTAGTAGAACAAGAATTCTGATCCAGGCAATCGAGTTCTCCAGTCCATGCTCTCAACCATTATTAATTATTGCCTCAATTAAATACTTCTTGACTACATGAATTTTTAAAATATCATATTTAGGAAAAGTCTGTCTGTATCCCCTTAATATTTAATTGAATTATTTGCCCTTCAGAAACCATTACTTTACTAGGTCATGTTTTCAAAAATAAGTCCTGTTACTGGGCTGGTGATATAGTCCTGTAATCCCACCATCTCAGGAGCCTGAGGCAAAAGAATACTAAGTTTGAGGCCAGCCTCAGCAATTTAACAATAATATGTCTCAAAATAAAAATCAAAAAGACTGGAGATGTAGCTCATGGGTAAAGTGCCCCTGGGTTCAATTCTTTTTTTTTTTTAAATGTATTTATTCAAATTTCTGTTTGGTTTTTTTGTTGTTGTTTTTTAATTGACTTTTTTTAAAATTTTTTTTATTTTTAAATTTTTATTGTTGTTCAAAACATTACATAGTTCTTGACATATCATATTTCACACTTTGATTCAAGTGGGTTATGAACTCCCATTTTTACCCTGTATACAGATTGCAGAATCACATCGGTTACACATCCACTGATTTACATATTGCCAAACTAGTTTCTGTTGTATTCTGCTGCCTTTCCTATCCTCTACTATCCCCCCTCCCCTCTTCTCTCTACCCCATCTACTGTAATTCATTTCTCCCCCTTGTTTTTTTTTTCCCTTTCCTCTCACTTCCTCTTGTATGTAATTTTGTATAACACTGAGGGTCTCCTTCCATTTCCATGCAATTACCCTTCTCTTTCCCTTTCCTCCCACCTCTCGTCCCTGTTTAATGTTAATTTTCTTCTCATGCTCTCCCTCCCTACTCTGTTCTCAGTCGCTCTCTTTATATCAAAGAAGACATTTGGCATTTGTTTTTTAGGGATTGGCTAGCTTCACTTAGCATAATCTGCTCTAATGCCATCCATTTCCCTGCAAATTCCATGGTTCAATTCTTAGTAATCAAAGAAACTGGTTACTAAGAAACTGTTTCTTTGAGCTTTTAAAATATTAGATGCATGATGCTTAAGAGTTTTAGTAAATAAGAAGTTGTAATTCTTCGACCTAAATTCACTAACTTATTAAGTCCCATTTTTTAAAAGTGATTACACCTGGAAAATGTTCCACATAAAATTCTAATATGGATCCCAGCTTCTTAGCATTTCTGGTTAAATTATTGAAGACTTTCAGGAAGCTCCACAGGGTGAGGAGATGATAATGCCTTCCTCTCAACATTTGGTATTGATCCTTCTTCTCTAATTAGGAAAAAAAAATTGTCATCTTAAGGAAATGATTGATTCAGTGTAGGGTACCAAAGATCAAGATGTTAAATTGAGAATTGCAGGATTATTCCTAAAAGAAAAAAGGAATATCTTACTTTTAGAGAAATTAATTCTTCAGATATCTTGAAAATTAATGTTGTTTTTAGACCATCCTCTGGCTGTTTTTTTCCTTAACAATATTATTTTCTGTGTGTCTGACATTTTAGCTTATTGTTAGAGAAATTTAATCTACTTTAATTTTTTGATTTACATTTTTTTGATGTATTATATAGAATTTGTTAAGCTGAGATCCATATTAGAATTTTATGTGGAACATTTTCCAGGTGTAATCACTTTTAAAAAATAGGACTTAATAAGTTAGTGAAACCTAGAAATTTAGGTTGAAGAATTACAACTTCTTATTTACTAAAACTCTTAAGCATCATGCATCCAATATTTTAAAAGCTCAGAGAAACAGTTTCTATACAATACATCAAAAAATGTAAATTTAATGTAAAATTTAAATTTAATCTATTTAATCTGTGTATGTTTACATTTATTGAATGTTATTTCTCTTTTTAGGTTCTGTTTTATTCATGATCTTTATAGAATTAATCATATCTATTTTCTAAAATACATATTGTGATACCTAATTAATTTGACAAAGATAGCATTTGCCTTAGTATCTCTCTCTTATCAGTATTTCACTTAGATGTATAACAATAAATACAGAGGAACATCTTTCTTTGAGGGAGGTTTTTGTTTTGTTTTGTTTTTAAAGGCTCCCACCATACAGGAAGAGCTCCAAGGGAGGGAACTCTGGCTGTTCTTTGTTTTTTGTTGTTGTTGTTGTTGTTGGCATCGTTGTTTATGGACACACAATACCGTTATTTTTATTTATTTATTTTTATGCAGTGCTGAGGATTGAACCCAGTGCCTTCCACATGCTAGGCAAGTGCTCTACCACTGAACCACAACCCTGGCTCCCCCAGCCATTTTTATTTTTTATTTTGAGAAAGGGTCTTGCTAAGTTGTTGAGCCTGGCCTTGAATCTGCAATTCTGCTGCCTCAGCCTCCCAAGTCACTGGGATTACTGGCTTGTGCTACTGTGCCCAGCAAGTTTCTACATCTATTAAAAAAGCATCTGGATTAAGTGATCTTGAGTGCCTGTTAAATGTTAGGATTTAACATTCATAGGTTGAAGATTATTTCAGTCTTAGTCACCTCCCTAGACCCTGTTTCCCTGCCAGCCTGAGATCACTTTACAATTTTGAAAAGACTAGTTGTTTTGGTTACTTGGTACTAATGAAGAATGATTTTAGAAGGAATTAAGTTTGAAACCACATGTTAAATCCTATCAAAATGGAATATTTGGATCGGTAGTTGTAATTCAAAGAATTTTTGTAGCTAGTGTATAATTTTAACCTAAATATACAATCATTATTTTATTAAATCTAAGGTGCCTTCAGTGGCAAGAAGCACCTTTATTTTTTGTGCTGCTATAAAAGAAAAAAACACTTATGCCTGTAATTTCAGCTGTTTGGGAGGCTGAGGCAGAAAGATCTGAAGTTCAAGATCAGTGTGGGCAGGGCTGGGGATGTGGCTCAAGCGGTAGCCCACTCGCCTGGCATGTATGCGGCCCAGATTCGATCCTCAGCACCATATACAAACAAAGATGTGTCCGCCGAAAACTAAAAAATAAATATTAAAATTCTCTCTCTCTAAAAAAAAAAAGATCAGCCTGGGCAACTTTGCAAGACCCTGACTCAAAATAAAAAACGTCTGGAGAAGTAGCTAAGTGTAGAAGGTTTGCCTAGTATGTGTGACACCCTGGATTCAATACCAAGTACCACATAAAAAGGAAAGAATAAAGGCTCAACAGGCATACATTAGAGTCCATGTTATATCCAGATTTCAAAGGCATTTAACATGTGAATTGTAGCCATCTTGAGTTTTAAGCCCTTTTGGCTGTGACTAACAATGGCATTGGTTTTTTGGGGTACTGAGGAGTGAATCCAGGCCTGCTTAACCACTGAGCCACATCCCCAGCCCTTTTTTGTATTTTTTATTTGGAGACAGGATCTTGCTGAGTTGCTCGGGGTCTCACTAAGTTGTTGAGACTGGCTTTGGACTCAAGATCCTCCTGCCTCAGCCTCCTGAGCCGCTGGAATTACAAGTTTGTGCCTCCATCCTGGCTGACATTGGACCATTTTTTAATTAATGGTCCAATTAAATCTTAAAATACCTAAAAACCAGAATGAGTTTATGTTTCATATGAACATCAAGGGATCTGGTTCTTTCAATATCAATAGTATTGGTTAAATATTAGATTTTATAGTTTTCAGGAAATCCTTGCTAATCTTGCCATTTCTGATTTTTTTTGTGTGTTTGTATTCCTTTTTATAGCACCTCAGGCAAGTAGGAGTAGCTGGAAAGTTTGTTGAGTTTTTTGGAAGTGGAGTTTCACAATTATCGATCGTAGATCGAACTACAATAGCCAACATGTGTCCAGAATATGGTGCTATCCTCAGCTTTTTCCCTGTTGACAATGTGACATTAAAACATTTAGAACATACAGGTAAGAGTATATAAGAATGAACATGTTAGATTTCCACTGTATCTTTCTGATAATATTTATATTATTTAATATTTTATATTTAATATTTCTAAAATCGTCTTGAAACAGTGGCTTTTTAACTGTATCATATGTCTATAAGAGTGTTCCGTCCTTAAAAACTAGCCCCCATGATCCATTGACAGCAACTTAAAGGAATTATTCAAACCACTAATTCTCATGTTTCCCCCATGATAATGGATTCCACAGGGATCAGATATTTCACTTTAATGGAAGCCAGGCTTGAGCATATTCACAGCTATTTCATTCTGTAGGCAGAGTAGAAGAGCCACCAGACAAGCGTTTGGGACAGAGTTCTTTCCAGAGAATAGGAAGCACCAGTTTTGCCAAAAGCAACACATAGGGTTACAGGTTCCAAATCTCTTGACTATTCACAACCAGAATATATTGATATTTCATAAGGCTTCTATTCTTTAAAAAGTAGATCTCTTCTTATTTTTCCTTTTATGAGGAAATTATTGCTGAGCTACTTATCTTTAATTGAAGATATGTTTGATTAGAGGGGGATATATACTATATTCTTGAGTTTGAGGGCACATTATTATACATGAGTGAATCAAATGGCAAAGTGAATGACAAACTATATGATATCTTAGCAGGAATGTTCCCTGTAAAATGCAAAACTTTCTCATATCTGGAATTTGGTTGGTAGAAGAACTTCAAGAGAGAAGTGATTAGAGGTGCCTCATTACTTTATATTAATCTGAATTAAGATGTTAGTCATATTTTGTTGTGTATAGCAAATTGCCCTAAAATTCAGTTGCTTAAACTAATAATAATAATTTATTGCCTTACACTTTCAGTATATCAGTAATTCAGACAGGGCATAGTGAAAGAGCTTTTCTCTGCTTCATATCTGGGGCTTGAACTATGAGATTTGAAAGCTAGGGCCTAGAGTCCTGAAGGCCTGTTTTCTCACACATCTAACAATGAATGGTTGTATGTTGGGGACTAAGCCAGAGCTTTCAGATGTGCCTACATGTGCCTCTGTGGTATCTTCATATAATCTGGGCTTTCTCAAATGTGGCTTCTCAGAGATAAAAACAAGAGAAGTGTTACACTGTGTTTGTTTCTTGCTTGCCATTGGAATTTCACATCCTTACTCTTTAAGATTGATTTCCTTACTAGATTTTGTTCTTGTTTCTTCCATTTAGGTTTTGACAAAGCCAAACTCAAGTCAATGGAGACGTACCTTAAAGCTGTGAAATTGTTTCAAAATGACCAGAATTCTTCAGAACCTGAATATTCCCAGGTATATGCAGATAACTCACCCAGTCATTATTAGAAGCATAAATTGTGGTACCTGGCCACTCGGGTTCAGGTCCTAGCTCTAAAACTTATTAGCTGAACAACCATGGACAATTTATTTAGCCTTTTTGTCTCTGTTACCTAATCTCTAAAATATGATGTCTAGCTCATAGAATTTTAATAATTTTCCATAGATTTTTCTATTGCTGGTTTATGACTGACTATTCCTTTGTTATAGAGGAACATTGTTATATGGTCCTAAATGTTAGTTTTAAAGCTATCTTACAATCTAAGCAAGTATTATCTGTTTAAATACATAGAGTTCATATTCAGAAATAAAACTTATTAAAATTTATTTCTAAAGAGTGAATTAAGGAGACTGGGATTGTAACTCAGTTGTAGCTCACTTATGCCTAGCATAAGTGAGGTCCTAGGCTCAATCTAGTAATTCAAAATAAAAATAGAGTGTATTGAGGATCTCTAAAGAGTTGGTGTTATCAAGCATTTTGTTGACTGTTAAGCTTTTATTTATTTTTTTAAACAGGAAAATCCATTTTCTTAGCTTTATTTATCTTAGCATGTCCCCACCCAATATGAACTCTTAATATGTATACTTCTTTGTAGGGCTTTCCATTAGAATACAAGTAAATAAGCTCCACAAGGACAGGAACTTTGGTATTGTTTTCTCAGGTTCTAGAATAGTGCTTGGCATAGTAAATATTCTTTTGTGGGGTGAAGGGGCGGGGTGCTGGGATTGAACTCAGAGAAACTCAACCACTAAGCCATATCCCTGGCTCTTTTTAAAAATTTTTATTTAGAGACAGGGTCTTAGTGAGTTACTAAGCAACTAACCATTGCTGAGGCTGGCTTTGAACTCACGATCCTCCTTCCTCAGCCTTCCAAGCTGCTGAGACTACAGGCGTGTGCCACCACACTGGGCTAGTATACATTGGAATTGAATTTGTGTTAACTTCTCTGATTATTTTCTGATTTTCTTGACCTATGTTGAATCTAATGTTTTGTCCACATTTAAAAAAAAAAATGGAAAGAATAAGAAAAATTAAATGGAAAACCTGGGACGGTAGAATAAAATGGGAAAAATATGGCAATTAAAAAAACTGACCAGGGGCTGTTGCTGTGGCTCAGTGGTAGAGTACTTGTCTTATACACTGATACTAGGTATTTAACCCAGGGAATTTTACCACTGACCTATAGTTCTAGCTCTTTTATTTTGAGATAGGGCCTCATTAAGTTGCTGAGGCTGGCCTCAAACTTGTAAACCTCCTGCCACAGCCTCCTGAGTTGCTGAGTTTATAGGTGTGCACCACCACACCTAACCCCAATAATGATTTTTTAACCAAAGAATAAAAGAAAGACCCTTTGAAACCAAGTGGCGAAAACCCTCTTCTCTGCTGTGTATTCCTACAGCACCCTTTATTGACAAATTTTACCTCATGGAAGCTGATAGAGGAGAAATGTGTTAATAAGCATTACCTACCTCCATGATCTGAGAACAAACCAAGTCTGAATTTAGAGTTCTGAGGCAGTATGGGATAGCTGGCATGGGCTTCTACTTTATCATCAGGCATATGTTACAACAGTGTTTATGTATGAGGAGAGAAAACATTTGGAGTCCCACAGATTTCATGTAGATTACATAATTTGGTGTTGTGGGAGTTTGATTTGCACTGATCTGCTTAATCTTATCAAGTTATGTTTCACAAATTTAAAAAAGTTTGTCTTAAAGTCTTTATTTCTAGGGGAGTGTTTCACCACTAAAGTAAATTATGTTAAATGATAAATGAATGTGAATGTACTCATTCTGCTTCAGAAAGTAATGCTTGAATTGGAATCTGTACTTAGGATTTCTTCTCCTAATTCCTTCTCTTCCTCTTTTGTTTTCCAAGGTGATCCAGATTAATCTGAATTCAATAGTTCCATCTGTCAGTGGTCCAAAAAGACCTCAGGATAGAGTTGCTGTGACAGACATGAAAAGTGATTTTCAAGCTTGCTTAAATGAAAAGGTAAATTACTTAATTGTTGTTATATCCATCAACATTCTTTGTGCTAAGCAGTAAAGAACCAACAAGTTTATGGGATTGATCCATAAAATCACTCTTCTGCTATATTTGTTATATATATATTATGGCCCATATCAGCAGCACTCTATTTTTCTTTCTGTCCATTGTGCAGGTCTTATTTGGTGAACTTATTCCTGGTTTCACTGTGAGGATCAGAGGCTATTTAAATTAAATTTTAAGTTAGTTAAAATTTAATGAAGTTTAAAGTTGATTTTCTTAGTCACAATAGTCTCATTTCAAGTGCTAAATAGCTGCATGTGGCTGTGGCTCTTGGCTTGAACTGTACAGATACTGAATATGTACATCATCAGAGAAAGTTTATTAAACTGTACTGTTCAAGAATTTTGTGACTTCCCAGACTAGGATAACATCACTATACTGTGACATTACTCACATAAAATCTGATAAAATATAACTGAATAACAATTGACTCCTTTGGCTTTGGGCGGGGGGGGGGTGGTTGTATTTTCTGAGAATCATGGTGTTAGTCTGGTTTTCTCTGTTCTATTACAAGAACTATGAGTTGGTTTTCTTTACAGAGACTCTTTTTTTTTTTTTTCTTCTTTCCTTTTTATGGTACTGGGGATCAAACCTAGGGATGGTCTGCCACTGAGCTACATCCCTCAGTCTTTTTATATTTTATATTGAGACAGGGTCTCAGTTGCTAAAACTGGCCTCAAACTTGGGATCCTCCTGCCCCATCCTACCAAATAGCTGGGATTACAGGTATGGAGCACTGTGGCCAGCTTCAGAGCCTTTCTCTTTATGATTTCTTCACTTTTTATTTGGAAAATGTTAAACTTGTACAGAAATAAAATAGTGTAATGAGTTACTGTGTATGTGTCACCCACCTTTAACAATTACTGGCTCATAGCCAATCTTGTTTCATCTCTTACACTCATACACAGGGTCATTTTAGAGCAGATCTTCAGAATAGAAAGAATTTGTACCATTTCTTGAGAATTACTGTAAGAAAGAATGAATAGACAAAAACAAAGCCAATTAAGATCTGGATTTTGGCTGGTGTGGTGGTGGATGCCTGTAATCCCATCGGCTGGGGAGGCTGAGGTAGGAGGATCACAAGTTCAAAGCCAGCCTCAGCAATTTAGCAAGCCCTAAGCAAATTACTGAGACCCAGTCTCTAAATAAAATACAAAAAAAGGACTGGGGATGTGGCCCAGTGGTTAAATGCCCCTGGGCTCAATCCCCAGTTTAAAAAAAAAAAAATCTGGGTTCTGGGTAGTTGGATGGATTCGTTTAGTAGATAAGTTTTTTTATTTAATTTTTTAAAATTTCTTTAGTTGTCCTTGGACCTTTTTAATTAATTTGTTTATTTATATGCAGTGCTAAGAGTCACATCCAGTGCCTCACACATGCTACACAAGTGCTCTACCACTGAGCTACAATCCAAGCTCAGTTTTTGCTTATAAAAACCACCAAATTTGTATCATGATTATTCAAATCACACTTCAGCTGAATTATAACTACTGAATGTTATGGACTCTCAGTGTCAGTTATAAATAGAACTTTGAATGTTAAATCATCAGATGTCAAGTGTCTGTACTTTCTGCCAATCTTATTTTTCTATACAAATCCATTATGTTTAGCTTATATTTATGTGCAAACCCATATAGGTTGGATTTAAAGGCTTCCAAATTGCAGCTGAAAAACAAAATGATACCGTCTCTATTCATTATGAAGGAAGTGAATATAAGCTGTCTCATGGATCAGTGGTTATTGCTGCAGTAATCAGTTGTACCAATAATTGCAATCCATCTGTCATGCTTGCTGCAGGTAGGTTGTGGTTTATAACCATGTTTTCTTGTCCTAAAATTGTTTTTTGTTTTTCTGTTGTAGTCATGGATATCAGTCTCTGTTTGATATTGAGAGTTTCTCAGATCTTAATTAGGTCCTAAGGAGCCTGAGTTTGATTTATACTGTTAATTTTGTTTTATTATAGAAAGGTAATTTTTTTAAAATTATAACTTACTGATATATTAGTTGTAGTCACAGGTCTGTTTCTTCAGTTAATTTAGAAGTATAATTGGTGTTTCTTGGTTTTCTACAAGAATTTTATTATCCCAGTAAGGAGGATTCCATTGAGAGTTATAAAGGAAGTAAAAGATTATTGACAAGGATTGTAAATGAAATCAATTTGTATATACATTGGAACAGTTCTTTAGTTGTATAAAACCATGTAGAGTAAATATTAAATTACCCTGACTTTATTATGACAGTATTTAAACATGTCTCATTTAGCTGGGTATGGTGGCACAAAACTAATGCCTGCAATTTGGAAGGCTGAGGCAGAAGAATCCAAGTTCAAGGCCATTCTCAGCAATGTAATGAGACCCTCAGCAACTTAGACCTTGTCTCACAATAAAAAATAAAAAGGGTTGGGGAAGTAGCTTAGTGTAAAGCATTCCTGGGTTCGGTCTCCAATACTAAAAACAAAAAGTAATAACAAAAAAAGGTTCATTTTAGGTGGAGGCAGTAGCACATGCCTGTAATCCCAGCAATTCAGGAGGTGGCAAGAGGATTGCATGATTGAAGCCAGCCTCAACAACTTAGCAAGACCCTGTCTCGAAATTAATAACTTTTTAAAAAGCTGGGGACATAGCTTAGTAGTAAAGTGTCCCCAGATTTAATCCCCACTTGTTAAAACAACAAAAGATTTTATTTACTCATACCTCTTATATGTATATATCCTTTTATTTTTGTTTGTGTGCATGATACTGTGGTGTTAACCCATAGCTTAATAATTTACAATATAACAGCTAGTGTATCTATTATAACTTATCATTTGTTTTAAATGAGCAAGTCAGTAGAATAAAATGAACAAAGTAGTGACAATAAATATGAATTTGTTTGGGTTTTTACTCCAAATAGAATTTGAGTCTAATCGGCTAATTAAATTCTTTCTTGCTTCCTACTCTAATACAAAAGAGAAAACACTCCCATTAATAAATACATCATTGTTTGTTGACTTTGCAGGTCTTTTGGCTAAAAAGGCTGTTGAAGCTGGTCTCTATGTTAAACCTTATATTAGAACAAGTTTATCTCCAGGCAGTGGGATGGTTACACATTACCTCAGTTCAAGTGGAGTATTACCATATCTTAGTAAGCTTGGGTAAGTGACAGTTTTATATTGACATTGGTGTTTAGTAGGTATTGAAGCTGCTTATTAGGGCTTTTCATATACAAAGAGAAGATAGAATATGCTATAGTTCTACTTGTTACTTTGCCATAACTACACAATCTCTGATGCCTTGAAACTCAGCAAACAGGGCATTTCTGATGAGCAGTGAACTGTGCTGGCTATTTAGAAGTAGAACATGTAATCACTCAGCTTCAGGATACTTAGTTGGAAAGAAAAGACAAATAAAAACCAGGTTAATAGTGACAGTATAAGTAGTACCTAGTACTATGTAATTTCCATGATTTGTATACAGTTGAATAAAATCTTAAGAGATTGTGTTTATTAACTCAATAAATAATTGAGGTTTTGTAAGGTTATTTGGTCTACAGAACATAGATTGAATTGTCCCTGAAATTTGGTGAAAATAAACATTTACATTTTTTATCAAAAAACTAATTGATGCTAGTTGTGTTTTCTGTATATTTTAAAACATACTATCTTATATAAATTATCAGTTCCTTTGAAAGCCTGATAAATTTTAGATGTTTTTGCTCTTAGAATAACCAAGTAATTTACAAGTATTATGCTCATAATCTTTTAGCTATATCATCTTGGAATTATTGACAGGTACCCTTCTCTAGCTTACTTTGGTTAAGAATTAAAAGATTTATTCATAACAGAGTGCCTTATTTTATTTCTCTGGGGGGGTCTTTGGTGAAATTGCTGTAGCCAGATTGTCTTGATACAGTTTAAGCAAACATGTTGGATGTAAGTACAAAACAAATATTTTAAAAGGTTATATTATAACAAGTGGTATTTGAGAAATTTTTTCATGTAGCGTGATAGATGCTGTTGACCTGATAGGGAATGCCGGAAGTATCAGGGTCCTTCAAAGGTTTGCATTCACTACAGATAAGCATGAGAATTAAACTTGATTGCTCAAAATGTTGTGAAATTAATATATTGATGAAGTTTAATCTGTGTGTCATGAATATCATTTTGAATAGTCTTATTGCAATAATGGAAATAAGGGGCTGGGACTATAGCTCAGTGGTGGAGCACCTGCCTACCATGTGTAAGGTGTACTGGGTTTGCTTCTCAGCACCACATTTAAATAAATTAATTAAATAAAGGTCCATCGACAACTTAAAAAGATTTAAAAAATAGTAATGGAAATGAAAGATAAGACTTGTCCTTTGCAAATGTGATATGCTGTCTACTCATGTTTCATTGTTTTAAAATGCAGATTTGAAATAGTTGGCTATGGTTGTTCGACATGTGTGGGAAATACAGCACCATTATCAGAAGTGGTTTTAAATGCAGTAAAACAGGTAATATATGCGTATTGGCAAGATATCTTAGTGGGTTTTTAAAAAAAATTGTTTTGTTATTAAATTATAGAAAATATATATTATATTTCTGTAACCTTTTGGGAAGAGTAACTTGTGAATTTAAAACAATTCAAAGAACTGTTTCTAGGTTTTTAAAATAGTTCCTATAAAGAATTAGTTTATTTGCAGGATTTATAAAATTTGTGATGTTGTTTATTTTCTTGCTCAGTCTGTAATATTAGAGATTGCTTATATGATTATCCAAGTTTGTATTAGCTCTTGAATGTATTCATTTGTGCAATTCCACCCCCCCCCCCCCCCCCCCCCCCCCCCAGGGAGATTTGGTTACCTGTGGAGTTTTATCTGGAAACAAAAATTTTGAAGGTCGACTTTGTGATTGTGTTCGTGCCAATTATCTTGCCTCTCCACCCTTGGTGGTGGCTTATGCCATAGCTGGCACAGTGAATATAGATTTCCAAACAGAGCCTTTAGGTATGTTTTCCTTTCCCTGTCTGTGTGTGTGTGTGTGTGTGTGTGTGTGTTTTCCCCCTAGAAGTTATTTTTGAAATGTTTTGTGTACCTCCATTCTTTGATTTCATAAAGACTTAAAACATATAGTTAATAATTTCTGTGTTCATGTGAAGAAATGTAAAATATACAAGTCATTAATCCTTTCAGCTGCTTAAGACTGAAGCACCCTGTTGCTGAGTTATTTCCTTAGTTTCTGTGATAATGTCTTTGAAAAAGACATGAACATTTAAAGTTGTTGTTGTTGTTATTTCCTTAGTTTCTGTGATAATGTCTTTGAAAAGACATGAACATTTAAGGTAGTTGTTGTTTGTTTGTTTGTTTTTAAAGAAGAAACATGTTAAAATTTTTTAACCAGGTACTGACCCTACTGGCAAGAACATTTATCTACATGACATCTGGCCTAGTCGAGAAGAAGTTCATCAGGTGGAGGAAGAACATGTTATATTATCCATGTTTAAAGCACTAAAAGAGAAGATAGAGGTAAGAGTCTTGTTTGTTTCTGAAATAGTTTGATAAAGTCACAGTGTTCTTTTATTTCATGCATCTTACTTTCTGGCTAGAATAAAAATTTAAATTAGCCAGATACGGTGGCGAAAGTGTCTGTAATCCCAGCAGCTCGGGAGGCTGAGGCAGGAGGATCGCAAGTTCAAAGCCAGCTTTAGAAATTTAGTGAGGCCCTAAGCAACTTAGTGAGATGACTCTGTTTCTAAATAAAACATAAAAATGCTGGGGATGTGGCTCATTGGTTTTTGCCTCTGGGTTCAATTCCTGGCACACACACACACAAAAATAATAATAATAATTATGTTATTTTGAGTGAACAGTTTTTAATGAATTATATGGCCATTTTCTATCTGGAATTATTAATTACAAAGACAGTGCCTGGGATAGAATCGATTTTATTTACTTATTAGAAATATGTGGTGACCACTTAACATTTGGTATCCTGAATGTGGGCACACTTCATAGAAAACTGCCCTTGTTTGTCACTCCCATTCAGATGGCTCAGAAATCAAAAGAAGTAAGAGCAAATCTTGCTTTCACCAATTCCCTAGCCATTTACTTTACCTTTCTAGAACACCAGTGATGTCTTTTTAAAGTGCCTTTTCAAGATGTTTTTATCACCTGTAAGCAAATTCAGATACACAAAAATTTATAAACAATATGAAATAAGGCAGAAACAAACAGCAAATATTTGTTGGGGCCTTACTATGTGTCAGGTACTCTTCTAGGTGGTTGGAATACATAGTGAATAAAGCAAAATTCTCATGAGGCAGACAGTGAACTGTAAAGAAAATAATTAGGTAAATTGTACATTGTGTTAAAAATAAGATCTATTAGAAAAACATCAAAGAGAATCAGTTCTTCAAATTTGGGAAATAGAATGCAGTGTTATATAGGATGATTGTAAAGCTAACATTTAAGCAAAGCTTTGAAGAAAGAAAATGAATCTGCCATATAACTGAACAAAGATAAAGACTTTTCAGGTAGAGGAAAAGTGTAAAAGCCTTACAAAGGGAACTGTGGTGAGTACAGTGTGACTAGGGCATAAAGAATAGGAAGGATGGTATAGGATATGATGTCAGTGGGAAGATGAAGCTCCAGATCACCTAAGAAATTTTAGGTCATTAGAAGAAGAGCCTTTGACCCTAAGAAGGAGAGCAATGGGGGAGGTTTTGAACAGAGGATCACTTTGATAGCAGAGTGAAAATATTTTGTGGGGAGAGTTGGGTAAGGAGGATAGAATCAGAAAGACCAGATGAAGGTAGTACAAGGTATAAAAAGTGTTGATGGAATGGATCTTTGAGGTAGCAGTAGAAGTGGTAAGAAATGGTGAAATTTTGGATATAGTTTAAAGGCAAGACCAGTAGGCGGTGATAGGGGACAAATATATTCTAAAAATGTGGAAGTTTTTCTTTGTGATAACATTCCTAGAGATTAATAGCATATTTAATCTTTCTTTTGCAACATGTGTAGATCTTTATTAATTCTTAAGCTTTGGGGGACTCTATAAAGTCTTTTTGTTCAGTTTAAGTTGAAACTTAATTATTAATGTATTCCGGAGAACCTGGTGGGTTGGAATTTGATAGTCTTTATTCATTCTGTCAAAAATGTCATGATTTTATAAAATGTACTATGTTAGCTTTCTAAATAGATAAGGCTTTTTTCCCCCCTCTTTTTCAACTGACCTAAGTATTACATTAATCCCTTGAACATTTTCCTAAGTCACTTTCTGACTTTTATCTTTGTTTTGTTAATCAACCCAAACTATATTCACAGATAGGAAATAAGCGGTGGAATTTTTTAGAAGCACCAGACTCAGTTTTGTTTCCATGGGACTTAAAGTCTACCTATATCAGATGTCCTTCATTTTTTGATAAACTTGTAAGTACTGTTTTTGTTTGATCTTTTTAAAGATTGTTATAGACTAAAAAAACCTTGTGAAATATTAAATGCTTTGAACTTTTATACCTTGTAGACCAAAGAACCAGTTGCACTGCAGCCTATTGAAAATGCCCATGTCTTATTATATTTGGGAGATGCTGTTACAACAGATCATATATCACCTGCTGGTAGTATTGCTAGGAGTAGTGCTGCCGCTAAGTATTTGACAAATAGAGGGTATGTATACATGGTTTTGGGTGTTTTTGTTTACCTTCTTTTTACTGATAAAGAGGCTTATGCTGTGTTCTTTTATCCAGTAAGTAAATATTTTCTTAGGTAATTGTTAGTATCTGTGACTTAAGAACTGGGGGAAACCTTTACACCAGTCTTTGCTTATAATTTTAGAAATTGAAATTGCTATTTTAAATTAGGTCCATACAGTCTAAATAAACAACTGATAAACAAGATATTTCTTTTTCAGAGCTACTTTGTTGAAGTGTCACCTTCATTTAACCTACCAGATGAGGCCTAATCATTTGGTTCTAACCAGCTTCCCATTATTGCAGTACAATAAATGTGTGTTTTATGAGCTATAAAATGTACATTCATGAGGCTAGGGTTGATGGTTATTAAATCAAAAGATAACTTCTTTATCTATTTATTTATTTATTTATTTTTAGTTGTAGTTGGGCACAATACCTTTATTTTATTTATTTTTATGTGGTGCTGAGGATTGAACCCAGGGCCTTGCACCTGCTAGGGGAGTGTTCTACTGCTGAGCCATAACCCCAGCCCCAAAAGATAACTTCTTGATCCTAAAATTTTATAGAAACAATACATTTGAATGTAAAGGCCATTTATACAGGAAATACAGATCTAAAACTGGAAGATTTTATTTCTATATGATAATGATGTAAGTTACTCTGTTATACAACTGTTTTGCCATCAGGGACAGTTTTGCTAAAAGTAAACTTTGTAATACTGGTTTCTGATTAGCTTTTGGATGCTTGTATGATGCTTGAACAATTCAAATTGTTCAAGTGTTTTTTTTTTAATTGAAATATCTGATAAAAATCAGGGCTATATAACTTGGTTTGACCTGTAATAATAATACATTGCTTTTATTACAGAGTGGTTACAAATTAGTTTTCTTGGCTGGGAAGTAGCTCAGTGGTAGAGTGCTTGCCTACCTAGCATGTGTAAGGCTCTGGGTTTAATCTTCCAGCACTGCAAAAGAAAAGAAAAAAAAAATAACTCAGTTTTACACTTTTAAAACGTATTATGAATTCTTGAGTACATTTAATTCAGTAGTTCTCATCAGAATTTTCTAAAAAGACACCCAAATCCCTACCACTCCCATCCTGAACTTAGAAGTTTAAATGTATAATTTTATGTACATAAAAGACCAAATGAGAGGCAGATAAAAGTTGTTGTTGAAGTACTTTTGTCCAGTTATTTATCTTTTAAGAAAAGTCATTTATATAGTTAAAAGTAAACATCCCTAACACCCACATTGTGGGGGTGTTTTTGGTGGTTGATTTTTTAAAATTTTATTTATTTATTTATTTATTTATTTTTGGTACTGGAGATTGAGCTCAAGAGTGCTTTATTCTTTCTTTCTCCCCCCCCCCCCCGTTTTTTTTTTTTTTTTTTTTTTTTTTTGGAGACAGGGTCTTGCTAAGTTGCTGAGGCTGTTTCAAACTTGTGATTCTCCTGCCTCAACCTCCCTAGTTGCTGGGATTACAGGCATGCACAAGTGTTCTCTGCTAACAGGGAGTTTGACTTTATAAATGTTTTCAGCTAAAAAATGAAGAAGGAATGATTGAATTTAGTATCATTGCGTTTTCTAGTCAATCTATACAATGATGATCAGTCACTGATAACATTCCAGGAAAAGACAATTGGATATAGTGTGCCTCCCAACCAAAGTACATATAACCTATGAAGCATTGTTTCCAAAAATTAAAAAACCTAAATCTTATTGAGTCACTGGATCTGACGTCTGGTTTACAAGAAATAAGAGGACAGAAAAACATGTTATATGATACCATTGGGTTACAGTCAACATAGTCTAGACACAGAAAACTATATAGCAAATGATCTAGTTTCTTTAGATAAAATACAAGGAAGGAGTTGGCAGGGAGGGAACATATAAATTATAACAGACTTGAAACCAACTGAATACATTTGTAAACTGTACTTACATGCTGATTTGAACAAACCAACTTAAAATAGTATGGAGGGCTGGGTTGTGGCTCAGTGGTAAAGCACTTGCCTCACGTGCATAAGAGCCTGGGTTGATTCCCAGTGCTGTTTTTTAAAAAAAAGTTGGGGAAAAATCAAGGACATTTGACTATTGACTGATATTTTAAAAAATTATTTTGAGTTTTTTTTTTTAATGAGGCTTAAGGATGACATTTTTTTTAAGTGTAGATGGACGCAACTTCTTTCTCTTTTTCTTTTTTTCTCTCTCTCTTTCTTCCTTTTTTCTCAACCCCAGCCCCAAGGATGGCATTTTTTAAAAGAAGCCAAATGTTTTTTAGAGAAACATTGGAACATACAGTTAGAATATAATAGAGTTTTGCTGAAAATGAATTTACTAGGTGTGATTATAGAGGAAAAAGGAATCTATGAATTGTTTATTATAGGTTGGTGTTAGGCTCATAGATATTTCACTGTTCTGTTTTCTCTATTTTTGTAGTTGCTTGAGTTTTTCCACAATTAAAAAAAATTTTTTTTTAATTAAGTTTTACATTTCAGTAATGTGTGGTTATTTTCCATTGGAGTAAAAACTGACTTTTATAATCTTTTTGTAGCCTTACCCCTCGTGAATTCAATTCTTATGGCGCCCGAAGAGGTAATGATGCTGTGATGACAAGAGGCACTTTTGCAAATATCAAGCTTTTTAATAAGTTTATTGGAAAACCAGCTCCCAAAACAGTTCATTTTCCATCGGGACAAACGGTAAGGATATATACAAAGTATTGAGGCAGTTGCTCACAAAAATCAAAATTTGTATTAAAGAGGTTGTGTCTATTTAATCTACAGCTAGATGTATTTGAAGCTGCAGAGCTGTACCAGAAAGAAGGTATCCCACTGATTATTTTAGCAGGAAAGAAGTATGGTTCAGGAAATTCAAGAGACTGGGCTGCCAAAGGACCATATTTACTGGTACTGATTTTTAAAATTTATTTTCATAAGCTTAAAATAAATTTTAATATTCCCCTTTGTCAGTAACATCCGCCAGAGTTTATTTAGCTTATTTGGGTGACCTCATGTTGATGGGTTTTTTTCAGCGATTTCAGATCATATTTTGTACTCATCTAGTTGTATTAAATACTTTGATTTTTATTAAACCTACATCCTATGTGAGAAAGTCAGTATGACAGAGGGAAAGGAGATCCTGTCTTAAACTATGGCCATATAATAATTATTTATACCTATTGATATTTGTACTTTGCTACTTTTCATTTAATTTTCACTGATTTGCTCTATCAAAGGTTAAGAGACTCAGAGGTAGTAGATCAAATTTCTCTCTCATCCATGCATGAGAATACATGTGTAAACTATATTCTCTCTGTCTCACACACACACCCCTCCCCCTCAAATATGAGATGATGGTGCCTGGCTATCTGCTTGGAAGACATTTTTCTTTAGATGGCTTCTTTGTTGCAGGGCAAGTAAGCACTTTGCTTGAGGTAATCATTATGTGACGTGTGCTTGCTGCCATTTCATATTTGAAAGTGCTTCTTTTTATAGCTGTAATTGTAAAACAGCTGGCCAAAGTGCAGTCTTCATAGCCTATTATTCATACTTCATTCTTTTTGAATCTTTAATCTCTTCCTTAAAATGTAAACACTCTAAGGAATTGTAGGAATAAACCAGATTATATTTAAGTATTACAGGTATAGGTTCCTTGTATTCTAAAAAAATTTTGTCATATTTTTTATATTGAAGGCTTGGCTTCCCTGATGTAGTAGGTGATTCTGGCTCTCCATTCAGATAGACATTTAAAAACTGGGTATGATCTGGATTTTGTCTATTAGTAGGTCTTACATTGGATGATAAACTAACTTTGTCATTCAGAAGCCTATATGTCATTATCTGTTTGAGGCCATTCAGTTTCTTCAAGGAAAGAGACTTAATTCAGAATGCAGACATCAGCTTAATCTCCATCTGGCTTTCTCAGGCCAGCCTTCCCCTATGCTCACGTGTTCTTAGCAGGGGTGAGTCCTCCCAAGGGGTGAAAATTGCTTTGTAGGTGGTTAAAAACATTAAAAAAAAAAAATGCTGTTTTCATGTAAAATACAGATAAACATAGTACATAAACAAATACACAGAATGTTTGCCGTGTTAAGATTTTGAAAGGAATGGGGGAAAGATGGAGGAAGTTGTCATTAAGTGGGAAAATCTTAAGAGGCTCCTTAGACAATAATGGAAAAAAATTATAGAGCCTCCCTAATTCATTTTCTCCAAAGATTAAACATTTTACTTTTATCAGACTGGGGATTGAGCTAGGGATCGTACTGCTTTTTGTACACTTTTTAACCAGTACCTCAATGTTCTGAAAGTTCCATATATCTCTAGTCTCAAGACTTCCTTGAGCCCTGTTTACAGACTGACTTTATTGAGATCACTCTCTAATTTTATCATGCTTCAGTATCAACACTATCTGATAAATCAGTTGCCTATTTCTGTTTTCTAAATATTTATAGAATTTCCTCATTCCCTTTGTTGCTATATGAGTTTAGATCGTTATTTAAATGGCATTTCCAGAGAGAATGTTAGTGAACATGTTAGATCCATCATGTTTAAACCGAAATCCTCCTTAGGAGTCTACATGATGTCAGAGTAGCCACCTATCTTCTGTAAATAAAGGCAAAATATGAACTTTTATTAAAAATTCTTATGTGAGTAACTCCCTGAGCTCTTCCTATATGGTAGGCTGTCAGTGCTTAACCCTGAAGTGGCAGGGGTAGGCAGAACAACAGGGACCTTTTAAAAAAGGGAAGTAAGGAAGTAGGGGGCAAGTAACAGCCATTGAACTCAGAGGCACTCAACCACTTATCCACATCCCCAGCCCTATTTCATACTTTTTTAGAGACGAGAGTTGCTTAGTGGCTCGCTGAGGCTGAAGCTGGCTTTGAACTTGTGATCCTCTTGTCTCAGCCTTCCATGCTGCTGGATCACAGGCATGTGCCACTGTGCCTGGCTAACAGGGTACTGCTACAATTAACTTTGACCTTTTCCTTCTTTTTTTTTTTTTTTTTTTTTTTTGGTGCTGGGGATTAGAACCCAGGGCCTTACGCATGCAAGATAAGCACACTACCAACTGAGCTATATCCCCAGCCCAACAATTAACTTTGATACAACAACACTGACCTCAGTATAGGGTATTAGGTCAAAAGTATTTACAAAAAGTTCCAAGAAGATATTTTTATTTTAAAATGCTCAATAAATCACCTTTTAGAAATGATTGGAGGAAATAACAATGTACATTTGTTACAGGGTGTGAAAGCTGTTTTGGCTGAAAGTTATGAAAAAATACACAAAGATCATTTGATTGGAATTGGCATAGCTCCACTTCAGTTCCTTCCAGGAGAAAATGCAGATTCCTTGGGTCTCTCTGGCAGAGAAACATTTTCTTTAACATTTCCTGAAGAACTGTCTCCTGGAATTACATTAAACATAAAGGTATTTCTAAAATTTTCAAATATATTATTGCACCGTATACTCAAGTAAATGGTTGTAAATTGAATATGGAAAGAGTTATAAATAAGGTACTGTCAGTTAGTGTATATAAGTCCTAGTTTAAGATGACTGTTTCCTACATTCTTAAACTGGGTAAATACAGTTTATGTTCTCTGAAGAAAAGTAGAAAGGAACTGAGTGCTTAGTCTAGATAAAAGACATGGAGGGAAATCTTGACTTCCAGTTACATGTGCCAACTTCTTCCTATTTTTTCAGCTTTCTCTCTTGATCTAACTTTAACCCAAAATGAAGGCAGAAGTTCAGGGTTAGAATAGAATTTTACCTCTAAAGGGAAAAAGGCAGAGTAGTAGACATTACATGCAATGAATAACTTGGTGTAAAATGCATATTGATAATGAGTAGGAATTTTCACAAGTTAAAATCTAAATCATTTGATTTAGTGTTCTCAGTAGTGTGATACTTGTCATTTAGAATTAGTAATGAAAATACCTGTTTTTCTACTTAACTGTGAAGCCTGTAGTCAGATAGTCAGGTGTTTTTCAAGCAACAAAAGGGTTTTAGGCAGTCTGAATTTATGAAATTAGAACCAGGACAGTCAGACAAAATGTGCCAAGTAGTCATTGAACCTGAAGACAAATGATCTTAACTACTACTTTGAAGATTTTACCACTCACATTAGATGTTTTTCTTTGTTTAAAGACAAGTACTGGAAAAGTATTCAGCGTGATTGCTTCCTTTGAAAATGACGTGGAAATAACATTGTACAAACATGGAGGATTATTAAACTTTGTGGCACGAAAATTCTCATAGTATCTACTCACCGTGGATGTCTTTGATAACTGGTAACTGCAAACCTTTTGTGCTGGACCCAGGAATCCTTGCCATGGAGCTGCAGATAGTCCCAGTATACTCACTTATTTCATCCATGGATGTAAATGATTATGAATCAACGTAGTGACTGAAATGAAATCTTCTTGATTTTAAATAATATACGAATGGTGCTATTAACATTGCTAAAATCAATGTGTGGAGTGTGTTGTGGAAGAGACCTGTAAGTATGGGTTGGGGGGGGTGCGAATATTTTATCTCAGACCATTTTGTAAATAAAGGCAGAATTTGAACTTGTGTTAAAAGATTCTTATATGAGTAATTTCCTGAAGTTGTTTGTTTAGTTTTGCACCTATAAAACTGTACTACTGTTTGTTGGTTTAAGAGTAGCAGATTGAAATGAGAGAAACCAAAGTAGACTCTAAAATAGTGGATATTGGAAATCTGATTTATTAATGGACTTTTTAAGTATAATAATTCCTTTTCAGAATTGAGCTGGACACAATTGGCATTCCTACTTTGTAATATAAGCCAGGTTTATCCTTTGTCTCAACAACAAGGAATAGAACCTACCCCACATGAAATCATTCTGTCCAGCCAAAGTTTCCTCCACATCTGAAGATGGACCATTGCAGAATATAAATGATTATATGGCACACTGTATTTACAGTGAAAATATGAATTGTCTTGATGCAGCCCTTAATTTTTCAGTAATTTGCCACTGTGCCCCTCCGGCAAGCCTCAGATGACATTACATTAATTGGATGAGATCATTTTGCTCATCTTATGTGATACTCTTACTTCTGTTACCTACTGTAGATATCACCAACTGACATTCCACATTCATTTTATGGATGCTAAAGAGAACTTGAATCATTAAACTCTAGCTTGATTTCCTCTAGACTTTTAAATTATCCACCCTAAATTATATGGGTGCTCACCCCTAACCATTTTTTAAATGTTAATACTTCTTAATTTTTTAAGTTGACTTTCTGTCATTTCAAATTATTATTTACTTGGGATGTATGATTCTATTAATTTTGTTATGGTTTGTTTGGTTTTAACCAAAGTGGACCATGAGGATAAAACACTTAAGTTGTTGCTGTCTGAGTATTAAATATTCTCAGTATGCACGTTTACCATATCACATCAAATATTCTGTCAACAAGGTTATTTGGTAACTTTTAAAAAAAGGTTGGATAATTATTTTCAGAAAATCCTGCACCATTTTTTAAATTAAGAAATTAAGCTTAGCAAAAAGTTAATTGTAATGTTTTTTTTTCACATGAAGATCTTTATATGACCTAGTTAAGTTGCATTTCAGAATTAGCTTATGATGCACAGAATAAAACGTTACTGATTTTAAGCTATAATGCTCAAACGAGTAGGTGAAGACCACTGAGAACTTTGCACAGAATCAATCATACAGTCTTTTGAAAATATTTTGCAAATATATATTTAGTCAATAAGTTGAGCTAGATTTTGACAAAACAACTTCCCTTGTTTATTTAATTTTTTATAAACATTTTTCTTGGTATTTTCAAATCATATTGTGTTCTTGATATATGCTATATATGTCAGTGCATGTGTTTTCGATTTACCTAAAAACATGAGTTAAGAATGGAGAATTTACAAGTTGAATGTTAAAATATCTGTTACATGCTTTGAACTAGTAATTCCAGATTGTGTGTGAGGGAAAATATAAATTTTTAAGGCATACTCTATGGTCAATGGGCAGAGTTATGTATATCATCAACAGCTGATCCAAGAGTTGATGATAAAGCTAGCTGGCTATTAATTAAAACATTGGCATATCCAGTCTACCTAGTCCAGTAATGATACAAGCATATCTTGTATTTCAGGAACAAAATGAAGCTTAACTCTTGCTTATATTCAATAAACCATAGGGCTTGATAAGCATGGTTTTAAGTTGGGGAGGAGTCAGAAATACTAGCGTGGATATCTTATAATTCTGCCATTAGCCAAATGCTGCAAAAATGTGGCATCTATTGGTTTTTATTATTTTATGTACCTCTTTTGTTGACTATATAAGTAATTTCATGTTACCAAAAAAATATTGTGTAAAAGAAGTGTAATAGGTGTACAAGAAAGCAAATCAGTATTACGTAAACTTAAGTACAATTTCAAAAGTTATTAACCAACAGCAGCATTTTTTTTTTAATCTTTAAAAACTTTATGCTACATACTATCGCCATTTTTATACCTTTGGGTTTTGCTAGTCCTATTAAATGAGTGAAAGTGTCATCCAGCCACTGAATTGCCATTGTTATTTATACTTAAAAGGTTCCCAGGGTGACAGTTGTTATTATATCCTGTTTTATCTTTATGCTGACACTTGAATGAGAGGTAGCAGAAACCCTTTCACCAAGTTACTTGGATTTTCACTGGTAATTGTACTAAACTCTATAAAGCTAAGAGCTAAATTGGAGTCATGGGTAACAATGTGTGCATTTTGTCTTCACAGTGATGAGTGACAGGATGAGGAGAAATTATTTGACTGCCATTTTTCTATGGTTGAATTAAAGGACACCCCCTTTTTTTTTTTTTTTTTTTTGCCTTTAGGTTTAGGAAAAGATACTAGGATACTGTATGTTGTTGGCCTTATCTTAGTTTGATTTGGAGTATAAAAAGTGGGGGGGAAGGGGATGGACTTTGGCTTTCTTAGTGTTTTTTTGTTTTGATTTTTTTCCCCCTAAAGTGTGACAGTGCTGATGTTTCTATCAATTTTACACACAATATGTGGCTATGGAACCATATATCTCATGTATCTATAAATCATTGTCTATTATTTAAAAGCCAACAAAACAGTATAACAGTTTTAAGTTCAATAATGTTAAGTATTGTATAGAAATATATTGGAGGCAAAGTTCAGTTGATGACAATTGTGTATATGTTACTGATGCTGTAAATTATTTTTAATAAAGAAAATTGTATTATCACATTTGACTCATTATAAAGTAATTTTGTAGTAATTGAAAATAAAACACTATGCAAAAAAAAAAAAAAAGACATGCTAGGCATGATCGTGCATATGTATATCTCAGTTACTCCAGAGGCTGAGGCAGAGGATCACAAATTTGAGGTCAGCCTCAACAACTTGAGTCCCTGCCTCAGAATTTTTAAACAATTTTTTAAAAGGCATGGGGATGTAGATCAGTAGTAGAACACCCCTGGGTTCAATCTCCGGTATCCAAAAAAGAAAAGAAAAAGAAATTGGTTGCAATCTAAAAATTTCTCTTCAAATATGTTATCTAAATGTTGAAACAGCTATTCCCAACACAACTGCCAGATGTAAAGCACAGTCATTCTCATCCTTATCTCTAGTTGTCCCTTCCACTCTAGGGCAAATATGAATGAAAATCAAGGTAAACATTTGAAAATAGGGGTAGGCTAGTCTTAAGTTGAATTTGATTCCAGGAGTGTTCTAACAGATACATGGATATTTTTGAATTAGTGTAGAGCTGAAAAGACTAATCTCGGTATCCTTTATACAAATAACATCTCTTAATTGGGAACAGTCAAGAAGTGGAGACTGCCTACTGTGCTAGGCAATCCATGCTATTCTCTGAAGTTTTGATGGTTAAAAAACCTTTGTTTAGAGTTGAAGTCTCCTTGTAGTTCATACCCACTGATTCTGCTTCTCCCTGATGTGCCTGTGCATCTTTTGTACAACTAAAAATGAAATCTATATTTAGGTAGACTGAACACTTAATAAATTGCACTATATAATTTCCATACCATGGATCTTTTATTATGGAGTTAATTTAAGTTAACATTCAGGACAAATTTGGAGGTCTCATGCTATGAATTATGTATTCTAGGAGAAACTAGGTTGGTTTTGTTTTGCCAAAACAGGATTTTTGACCCAGGGCCTCAGTCATGCTAGGCATGACTATTGAACAATATACCCAGCTCAGAGAGAACCTTTTCTGGATGCAGGATAGAGGAATGGTATTTTGGGGCCCTGTTACTTTAGGACCAGCTAATGATGCCACTTACTCCCTCTGCCACAAGTCAGCAGCTCAGAGCCAGAACTACGTCTCTACCCTAAAATAATATTTTGTAAATATGGCCAGCTCCCCGCTGATCTAAAAGAATAGGTCCTTTCTCACACTCTTACCAGCAACCTAAATGAGTGATTAAAGCTTATTTATCAAAATTTGGCATTCATAAACCAAAATGGTCAAATTCAAGTTTTCTAAGGATTCTAACAAATTTTCTAAGATGTTTGCAATACAAAGGCTACGGCCAGCCTGGGTGTACGCTGATAGTTTGAATATCCAGTCTTGGAAGGAGACTTACAGTATCATTAGTGTTGTATGTATTTGACTTAGTTTTCACTTGATATTAATTTTGCTTTTAAATTAATTTAGTTTTCATGCAGATTTATTGTTTTGATATGAGCTGTTTGGCTTAAGTTCTCCAAAATATTAGACCATAAAGCTTGTGTTTAGTCGAGTGTTGTGGCATATACCTGTAATCCCAGCAATTTGGGAGTCTGAGGAGATCACAAGTTTGAGGCCAGCCTCAGCAACTTAGCAAGGCCCTGTCTCAAAGTAAAAAGAGCCGGGAATGTAGCTTAGTGGTACAGCACCCTTGGGTTCAGTCCCCAGCCTGCATTCAGATATAGATATATGCCACAAAAGGAGATTTCCATCAACAGTAAGCTATGTAAATGACAGTGGTCCTGTGAGATTGTATCACCTAGTGACTTAGCTATTTTAATTTGTGTAAGTACATTGGTGTTCACACAATGAACCTGCCTAAGGATGCATTTTTTTTAGACGTCCCCATCAAATAAGCACCTCATGACCATATTTGAAAAATGAACCATCTATTGCAAAAGCAGGTGTAGATGTAATAGAAAAGTGGCTCTATAAATGTGAAATGTGTTGTTACTGAATTTTGTGTTTGCATGGTGAACATCTTGCAATATATAATGGAAATGGAAAGCTACACAACTATTGTATAGAAATTGTTTTGTTTTGGTGCTGGGAATTGAACCAGAGAGACTCCCATATGCTAAACATTCACTCTACCACTGAGCTATAGCCCCCATTATTTTATAATATAAAATTGTTTTGTAATATAAAATCATTTCTATAATCTTGCTACAAATTGTTTACTTCTTTTCATCCCCCCCGCCCCACCTTTTTTTTCTTCAATACTGAGAATTGAATCCAGGGGTGCTCTACCACTGAGCTATATCCTCAGCCCTTTTTATTTATTATTTTGGGTCTCACTAAGTTGCTTAGGCTGGCATCAGTGTTGTGGTTCTCCTACCTCAGCCTCCTCAGTTATGAATGTGCACCACAGTGCCTGGCTTCACTCCAAGTATTGATTACTGAACTCACTGAGAACCTCTACTTGAAGTGACCCTGTGGTTAGAGTAGAGGAAAAATGTTAATACAATGTCTTAGATTGGTGGAACTTTTTAATCATGATACCCAATGTTGATATTATTGAGGCAAAACATGATTTTGCTGCATAAAAGCCTTGAGGGCTGTGGTTTGGCTTAGTGATGGAGTGCTTCCCTAGCATGTGTGAGGCACTGGGTTCCATCCTCAGCACCACATAAAATTAAATAAATAAAGGTATTGTGCCCATCTATAACTAAAATAATAATTTTTTTTAAAAAAAAGGTTGAAAGTGTTCTCTTAGAATTCTCTTAGAATCCCATTGAAGCCTAACAGCTTTAAGACAATTAAAAATGCACAAAAGATTTATGTATGAGGATATTCTTTAAAATGAGAATGTTAACAAAGTGAAAAGGGCAAGTTACAAAGAACATATTTCTTATTGTTTAATTTTTTGAGTTCTTTGTATACTCTGGATATTAGGGCTCTATCTGAAGTGTGAGGAGTAAAAATTTGTTCCCAAGATGTAGGCTCCCTATTTACCTCTTTTATTGTTTCTCTTGCTGAGAGAAAACTTTTCAGTTTAAGTAAGTCCCATTTGTTGATTTTTGTTATCAACTTTTGTGCTGTGGGTGTCCTATTAAGGAATTTGGAGCCCGACCCTACAATATGTAGATCGGAGCCAACTTTTTCTTCTATCAGACGCAGAGTCTCTGATTTGATATCTAGCTCCTTGATCCACTTTGAGTTAACTTTTGTGCATGGCGAGAGGAGGGGATTCAGTTTCATTTTGTTGCATATGGATTTCCAGTTTTCCCAGCACCATTTGTTGAAGATGCTATCCTCCCTCCATTGCATGCTTTTAGCTCCTTTATCAAATATAAGATAGTTGTAGCTTTGTGGATTAGTCTCTGTGTCCTCTATTCTGTACCATTGGTCCACCCTCCTGTTTTGGTACCAGTACCATGCTGTTTTTGTTACTATTGCTCTGTAATATAGTTTTTAAGTCTGGTTTCGCTATACCGCCTGATTCGCACTTCCTGCTTAGAATTGCTTTTGCTATTCTGGGTCTTTTATTTTTCCATATGAATTTCATGATTGCTTTATCCATTTCTACAAGAAATGCCATTGGGATTTTGATTGGCATTGCATTAAACCTATAGAGAACTTTTGGTAATATCGCCATTTTGATGATGTTAGTTCTGCCTATCCCTGAACAGGGTATATTTTTCCATCTTCTAAGATCTTCTTCTACTTCTCTTTTTAGGGTTTTGTAGTTTTCATTATATAAATCTTTCACCTCTTTTGTTAGGTTGATTCCCAAGTATTTTATTTTTTTTTTTTGAGGATATTGTGAATGGAGTGTTTTTCCTCATTTCCGTTTCAGAAGTTTTGTCGCTGATATACAGAAATGCCTTTGATTTATGCCTGTTGATTTTATATCCTGCCACTTTGCTGAATTCATTTATTAGTCAAAGAACATATTTCTAAAGAAGGTCCAGAGAATGGAAATGGGCTCATACCAAAGAAGGCAACTGTAGATCTAGAAGTCCTGTCTCTCAGATTCTCAATTTCCTAATTAAATCCTCATTGCCATTCTTCCATCCCAAAAGGAGTACAGAAAGAAAACAGACCAATAGAAATAGCAAGAGAAGGTGGACGGAGTTCAGGTGCTCCAAGTGTTGAGCATGCAGAGTGGTTTAAGAGGGCCAATAGGATTTTTTTTTTAAGTTGTCAAATTTTTTTTTATGTATATGTGGTGCTGAGGATCAAACCCAGTGCCTCAGACATGCTAGGCGGGTGCTCTACCACTTAGCTACAACCCCAGCTGGCCAATAGGATTTTTTTTTAAATATTTATTTTTTTAGTTTTAGGTGGACACTATATTTTATTTTTATGTGGTGCCGAGGATCGAACCCAGTGCCTCATCCATGCTAGGCGAGCACTCTACCACTGAGCCACAACCCCAGCCCCTAGGATTTTAATTCTGATAATCCGAAAAATTACTTTTTGACAATTGGAAGGAGTGGGACTTAAAAAGTATGTCTCCCCCTGAGGCTGCAAAAAGCCTTGCTACTTGAAGATTAGAAGTGAAGCAGATAAGGAACTGTATCTAAAGGGAAAAGAGTCATCATTCAACAGTTGATAGAAGTCTGGGAAACATCCAAATCAATCAGGGTGGCTATAGGTAACCTGAGCACGCTAAATCCTGACCCAAAGTGTGTGGGAGTGGGGGAGATAGGGTGAGGAGGGCGGGTACAAAACAAAATAGAGACCCACGTGCAGGCAAGGGTGGACAGACATCCAGAGCGCTTCCACTAGAAAGTTCTGACCTATCAGAGAAGTCCTGCTTGGCTGGAGAAAGACATCAAGCTATCAGAGCCTTATGCGCTTTGCAGTTAGGATCATCCCACTAACCTGTTATCCCATGAGTCTCAGGCAGCCTCCTGAAAATCTTGTAGTCTCTGCAGACTTTCACTGATTGCACTACATAAATAAGGATTCTGACCCAATTACCAGTTCTATTTCTCAATGTAAACGAGTCGTTCATCACATCCTGAGTTATTGTGATGTTGATCCCCTAGGAAGCTTATTAAGGAGGCTTTCCTTCTCCCTCACCATCTACTATACTGAGTTAAATGGCTTGGGAGGAGAGCAGAAAATTCTTGCTGTGGCAAGAGCCGAAACTGGAAGTTGGATGACCAAAATCCTTTGAGGCTCTGTGCCCCTAGAGGCTTAGTGTGTAGGCTTATTCAATAAATAAGACCATTTGGTTCGAAAATTTCAGTATCCGGAGAAAGTCAAGAGACCTAGTGGAATACAGTCAGGCTCAACTCTCCGGACCTCCTATAGGGACCCCTGCAGTTCCTGAGGCCAGGATGGACTCGAGTCTACCTCGGGCCTTGTTTTCGGAAGGTGGCCTCCAAGATACTTGCTTCCAGTGAGAACGGGAAGGGGTGTGAGGAAAATAAACGAGTACAGAGCTCTATCCAAACATTTGGAATGCTGATGGTTGAAGTTCACGCAAATACTCCACCCACAGGGCTGAACTGAAAAGTGCATTCAAGGACCAAAAGCCTGGTAAATGGCTGACACACTGGCGGGTGGAACCTCAGGGGGCCAATCAGAAACAAGGTTCCAATTACGTAATAAGATAGCCAGATTCTGATTGGGGTACTCACCAAGAGAAGGCGAGGCAGATTTCAATGAGCCAATCAGAAGCCAGATATCTGAATTTCTGGCTCGCCTCCTCAGGGGCGGGGCCAAGCCAAGTCCTGGCGCGCCCATCCAACCTTTGCCTTCTAGTAGTCTGCACTGACTGCGCGGCGAGGGTTGGAGGGAGGAGCCAATCAAAAGTCAGGGCTTACTGGGCTTAGAAGAGGGGTGGGCCGAAACGCTGCAACTCGGACCTCACCTGGTCTTGCTGCAGCAGCTGGAGCACTGGGCTGCGGAGAGTGGGTCCACCTCTGGACGTCGAATCGTGGTGGTGAGCAGAGGTGGGGAAAGCAAAGGTGAACCCCGGGTACTCCTGGGGAGGGTATCTCCGAGAACAGGCCGGCTCGCTGAGAGTCTGGGGCGGGGAGTCCTGTTCCTGGGACTCCTCCAGCCCCCTGCTCCACCTCATACTCGCTACATGACTGGTGGCAAGTCACCGTGCTCTATGGCTGGACCTCTTGGGAACGCAGAGGCAGAGCTGATATCCCAGAACCAAAGCGTGGCACCTGAGAAGCCCCCGAGGGGCCATCCCTCTTGAGACCCGTGTGGTGATTCCAGCACAGGGAAGGTGCACGCTGGAAACCATTTCTAATGCTCCCGTGGACCTTGCTTATATATTAACGCTGTGAACCTAACTTTTATTACCTCCTCCTCACCTAGTTTCCTGCCTCTTGGGTCAGCAGCCCCTCTGTATCCCGGTGAGCCACTGCTCTTTGTCTTACTTAGCAGCGAGACCCCCCAGAGCACCCAGTAGCGCATTATTATTATCTTTGAAAAAATTAAAAGTCTATAGAATCCCTGCTTTACTGTTTCTTGATTCCCTTGAAGGTATACAGCCTGTGAGCCTGTGGAGTAAAGGCAACCCCTGGTTCATTATTTAATATTAAATAAGGCACCCAGCTAGATGTTTGGGATACAATCCATGCTCTCCAATGATAGCAGGACACAGCAGAAGGGGTTGCAGAAGAAAGGTATTCGTAAGACGTGTTAAAGTAGAGTTCATTGGACTTTGTATCACTTTGGAAGGGAGGGAGAGAAAAGAATCGAAGATTGACTTTTGTTTTTTGTGTGGTATACCTTGCACAAAGTAGAGAGATTAAGGTCCAGATCCTCTGGTTGTGGGTCAAAGATTGTGAGATTCTGGCACAAACCTTGGGACTGGAAAACACTTGCTTCCTAAGATTTTTCAGGAGCTAAGCAAAAGTATTGTTGGTAGGAAATAAAGACCAACAACTTATAGAATTGGAAACCCCTTCCTTCTTCTCCACACACAGGGCACATTTGGTTAAGACAGACAGTCCTGGTGTTACATGCCTGTAATTCCAGCTACTTGGGCAGCTGAGGCAGGAGAACCAGAAGTTCAAGGCCAGCATCAGCAACTTAGCAAGACCCTGTCTCAAATAAAAAGAACTGGAGAAGCAGACTTGATCTGTGCCATTGGTTCCATGATTTTGAAGTCTTTTACATACAAGAAAAAGGGGAAATTTAATCTCAGGAAGAATTTTAGCAGCATAAGAATGTTAAAGCTAGAAAGGACCTTGAGAAAATTTGTGGCTAGTCCAAAGTTTCAAAGGTTAGGTAGCAGAGCTAGAGATAAAATATGACTTTTTAAAAATATTTTTTGGTTGTAGATGGACACACTATCTTTATTTTATTATGTGGTGCTGAGAATCCAACCTAGTGTTTCACACATGCTAGGCAAGTGCTCTGTCACTGACCTAAAATACGGCTTATTTTTTCAACTCAACAACTTTTTAGTACACAGACGTCTGCGGCGCTGAGTTTGATCCTCAGCACCACATACAAACAAAGATGTTGTGTCCGCCGAAAACTAAAAAATAAATATTTTAAAAAAATTCTCTCTCTCTCTAAAAAAAAAAAAAAAAGAAAGAAAGAAAAGTAAGCACAGAAGTGATTGTCAAGAATACAATAACAGGAAAAGAAAATCAACCAGTGCTACAGGGGGAATGCAGGTTTAGAGGAGGGAGAAATTTCTTTGCTGAAGGCCATTGCTGGGTGGTTAGCATTTGAGGTTTATACCCATGTTATCACTTCAATGTCAGGCTATAGTCTTGGTCCTGAGGTTAGGAGAGAGTTATGTACAAGAACCCTAGGACACATCCCTGAGTTTTATCTCCTTCCCCTCAGTAGAGTAAGCTGTGATAGAGCTGAAGTGATTAGACATTAATGGACATATGGTTTGTGTTGGGAAAACATATAACAGCAGCAGCACCCCAGAGAAAAACCCCAACATGGCGCCTAACGACCCTCTTTCTCCTCTTTTTTCTTTCACTGGCGCAAAACGTTCCCGCCGCGCCAATGTTCAAGTCCTGCGGGTGGGAAACCTTAGCCCCAATAAGAATTAACTTCTTGGGCTCCGGAACTGACATATGGAAGAGCTTGCCAATAAACGGGTGACCCATTATCTACCTCATCCCTGCCACCTCTCCTTAGGTCTATATAAACCCACAGCCTTTTGTAATAAAGCCAAACATCTCTGGTGATTTGCGTCGTGTGGTATCTTCCATTCCTAGTGCGGTGTGGCGTCTTACAGTTTGATTTTGGAAGTTCTCAGGAAGTCCTGAGATACACCCTTCCTTGTCCTAACCTATCTCTCACAAGGGCTAACCTTTTTTTTTTTTTTTTTAAGGTAAAGCTTTCATTGACAGTTTACATTTACTTAAGCTTACATTAACTTAACAGAGCTTACATTTATTTAAGCTTTAAGTGGAGGTTTGACAAATATATTCACTCATGTAATGAAAGTCTAGTCAAGATATAGGGCTGGGGGTGTAGTTCAGTGGTAGAACACTTGCCTACCATTGTGGATTTGGTCCCCAGTGATGTTAAAAATTAAAAAATTTAAAAAGTAAGATATAGAGGGGCTGGGATTGTAGCTCAGAAGTAGAGCGCCTGCCTGGCACGTGCAAGGCACTGGGTTCTATCCTCAGCACCACATAAAAATAAATGAATAAAATAAAGGTATTGTGTCCAACTACAACTAAAAAAATTTTTTTTAAGTAAGATATAGAACATTTTCTTCACAAAAAATTCCCTATAGCCAGGCACGATAACACATGCCTGTATTCCTAGCTACTTGGGAGGCTGAAGCAGATGGATAGCAAGTTGGAGACCCAGCCTCAACAACTTAGTGAGACCCTGTCTCAAATAATAAAAAAGGCTGGGCATGTAGCTCAGTGGTACCCCTGGGTTCAATCCCCAGTACCACATATACATGCACACACAAACTATATCCTAAAATGCAACTCACCCCAAGATGTTATCAATCATTGGCAACTTAGTAGGAAGGAAAGATTGGAATTGAACTATTTTGGGAAAAAAGGAAGGTAAAATTGTAAGAACCTTAAATATTTTGTTCCTAAGGATTTTCAGAAGTCCTGCACTGCCCTTCACATATATCTGATTGCTCAGGAAAGATGCCAGGTATGTGTAGCTGAGGATGGAATTGCCAACACTGAGAAAATAGTCTTCCCCACCCTATCTCAAATCATATTAAAAAACTCAATTGAAATCCATCTTCACAACAATATCTTCCTTAGATCATAGTAATTTCTCTTCCCTCTCAGTTTTTCCACCATACTTTTGACAGATACTCACTTCATAGATCATAAATTCAGACATAAATTTTTTATTTTCTGTAATTGGCCTTAATTTTTATCTTAAGTCCTTATTCCTCTTGGCCATAGGAAACGTTTTCTTTACAATTTAAGGTAACCTCAACCACTCAGTCATCTGGGTTTGTACTTGGTTAATTCAAGTTTTTTCCTTTGACATTCTATTCTTTTGTTACTTAACTGCCATCTAACTTATTCAGAGTTGTGTTTACACTTTTTGTTTAGTAAATCTGTGACTCCATAAATAGATGTTACAAAGCCCCTTACTCTCATCTTTCAGAAGGCCTTACATAATGCACATTGGTCCGTATTTTTTTTTATATTTGAAGTATGTGAAATAAGTCAGATGGTGACTCTTATAACAAACTGTGACTAGAAAAGATTGCTGTGCTTCAATTTAACTTTTAGCCCAAGACTGGTGGTAATGTAGTAAAGATTTCATGATCATGGGTCAACAATCTGGAGAGTTGACTTCTTACTGAAATTGACTGTGTAACTTGGGCAAGTCATTTAATCTCTTAGGACCTAAATTTCTCCTGTAAAGTTGGTGAGAGGAGAGAGATTGAACTGGATGATATCAAGGGGCTTTCCTGTCTTGTGTTCTGTCCTTATTCAGTTTAGAAGGTAAGTTTGAAAATAATTTATGGTACCATGGTTTTAATCGACTGCCAAAACATCTACTTTTTGATGTCATGCACTGATATGATTTTTAAACTTTAATTAATAATCAAAAGAAGTAATCATTTAAATAAATATCCTTATATTTATATCCCCTTTCTGGTTCTTGTTTTTACCCCAGACATAATGTCAAGTGGAGATGATGAGCAATCACAGGCTCTTGCCAAACCAACTTTCACTGAGGTACAAGCTTCTGCGGTAGTTGAATCAGTATTTGGGTTAAAAGTTTCTAAGATCCAACCACTTCCCAGTTATGATGACCAAAACTTTCACGTTCACATTTCAAAAATTAAAGATACTTCAGATGGCCCAATTGAATATGTTCTCAAAATAAGCAACACAGAAGCCAGCAAAAATCCAGACCTGATTGAAGTGCAGAATCACATCATCATGTTTCTGAAAGCAGCTGGATTTCCAACGGCCTCCGTGTGTCGCACTAAAGGAGACAACACAACCTCTCTTATGTCTGTAGGTAAGAGATGACTAACTTGTCAGCATGTCCCCTGTCCAGGCCCATTACATCATTTTGGCTACAGGTAGAAATACAGTATCAAAATCAGGATCATAATTCTAAGCATAGATGTGGTTATTTTTTCTAGTGGTTGGGGGAAGCTGCACAGTGGAAATTGGGTCTCCCAGTGGTAAGAGCTGGGATCTGGTATAGCATTTCTGCTTAGAAAGGCCCTGATGAATGATAACTACAGGGAAATCAGTAGAACATTTTAAAAATTGTATTCCACAAGATTTGTTTGTTTGTTTGTTTGTTTTAGTGCTGGGGATCAAATTCAGGGCCTCAGGCATGCTAGGCAAGCCTTCTACCACTGAGTTACTCCCCTCATCCCAATTAAATATTTTTATTCATTAGACTAGCTGCATATTTTGGTGCTATGGTATAGTAGAAAAAACAGAAGATTAGAAATCAGCATGTTGCCAGTTATGTCTTTACTGTATATGTGACATGGGCAGATGACTTACATTCCCAGGGCTTCAAGTCCTCATCTGTGAGACATAGTCCCTTTCATCTCTCAATGCTGAATGCGAAGAAGTATCTAATTCAACAAGCAGTACCTTGAAATCAATTTCTTGGAACTTTTTAAGGTTGGAAATCTTGACTATCTTTTTCTCTCTTGATTGTTCATTTATTCTTTCTTAATTTGCATTGCTCCAAACAACTGAGGACCAGTAGGGCCCCTGAGGATTAGAAGTTGTCCTGTATTACAAACAGGCTATACTGCAATTTGCCCCTGAAAAAGCCTGTGATTCTGGAATAGTCTTTTTTTTTTTTTCTTTTTTGGGGGTGGGGGAGTACCAGGGATTGAACTCAGGGGCACCCTACCACTGAGCCACATCCCCAGCCCTATTTTGTATTTTATTTAGAGACAGGGTCTCACTGAGTTGCTAAGCACCTTGCTTATGCTGAGGCTGGCTTTGAACTCGCAATCCTTCTACTTCAGCCTTCCAAGCAGCTGGGATTATAGACATGCGCCACTGTGCCCAGGAGGAATAGTCATTTGTTTATATTTCAGTTGTAAATTTATGAATGAGTGTGGTTTGGGGGCATGTGTTTACCAAACTAGGTAATTTCTGTTTAGAGCTAAGACTAGCAGAGTTAGAGCTATGCTTGTTGGTATGTGAATGGCCAATTCCAGTGTTAAGATTTGTCTTTCTACCTGCTTACTTTAATCCACTCAGCTCTGCCTCAGAATGCTGTGTTCAGTTAGCACATTTTTTTTTTATTACGCAGTTTTATTTCAGTAATAATTGCCAATGCAAACAACTTCTAATTAACTTTTTCAAAAAGAGTTGATAGGTTATATCATTCTATCCATCTAGATAGTGGCACTGAAATCAAAAGCTACTTGGTGAGGCTACTGACTTACCTCCCGGGAAAACCTATTGCTAAGATTCCTGTCAGCTCCCAGCTGTTATATGAAATTGGAAGGCTAGCTGCCAAATTGGACAAGGCTTTGGAGGTAAGATTTGGGGTTTTATTTTGTTTGTAAAGGATTTCTGTTTATTTATCTCACTTTCAAAATGAACTCAGGATCAGATTCTCTTTATATATGGGGCTCCTGAGGTGTCTTATGTAGAATCAGGGTCTTAGATGAATTAATCTTATATGAGCAAGGATACCTCCTTCCACCCAGATTCTCACTTTAATGACATATTGGCATCTAAATTTTTAGGAAGTCATGATATTCTTTATACTGCTCACTGAAAATAGTCTATACTAACAAAATGAAGCCTGAACTTTTCATCTAACTAAGCTATAATCTGCTGGAGCTCTGTGTGAAGCAGTAGCTAAGTTGTAAATGGATTAGAATGATAGTTTTGTCCTATAGAAACAATATGTTCGACAAATATTTTTCAGACCCAACCACAGAATGTCTTCATTTATTCAACAAACATTCACTAAGTTCTGGTTATACTGTAAAAAACCATCCCCGATCTTATTGACTTAAAACAATAATTATTTATTTCTCATGATTCTGTGGGTTGACCAGGCAGCTCTTCTCTGCTTAGTGTGATTGGGGGGTTACTCGTGTAGCTAGATTCCACTGGGAGTACAATTGGGGAGCTTTAGTTCTTCTCCATGTGTCCTCTTCTTGTCATATGATGTCTCATCCTTCAGGATGGCTGGAACATCCTTATGGCATGGCTACTGGCTTCTAAAAGAGAAAGTTCCAAGAGGGCATGCACCAGTTTACACATGCTTATCAAGTCTCTGCTTCTGTCATGCTAGCTTATGTCCCATTGCCCAAGCAGGTGACATGGCTAATACTAACGTCAACTGGAGAAGCTATATAAGGGCATGAACCAGGAGACATAGTTCATAGGGGACCACTCGGATAATAGTCTTCCACATATGGTATTATAATTACTTGTTTCATTTTTGTGCTTCCTGTACATATGCTTCATAAGAAGCAGTGAACTTCGGTGAACTTCTTAAGAAAAGTGTGTGTGTTTTATTTATGTATCTTTTATCCATTGTGTCTAGCAGTGTCAAATACATACATAGCAGGAATTCAAGAAAAAATAAAAAGAAAAGTAACATCTGAACTGGTGATGTGAATCAGTCAGGTAGAGAAAAGGAAGATGGACATGCTGGCAGAAGGAAAGAGTCCATGACAAATCATGGCATACAATGACACCACATCTCTTTTAACATTTCTTTTTCTTTCCTTTTTTTTTTGGTATCAGGGATTGAACTGAGCCTCATCCCAGCCCTTTTTTGTATTTTATTTATTTATTTAGAGACAAGGTCTCATTAAGTTGCTTAGCACCTCACTAAATTTCTGAGGCTGACTTTGAACTTGCGATCCTCCTGCCTCAGACTCCAGAGCTGCTGGGATTACAGGCCTGCACCACTAAATCCAGCCTAACATTTCTTATAGTGTAGGTCTGAGGTAATGAACTTCTTTAGTTAAATTATTTTTTATATGCGGTGCTAGGGATCAAACTTAGGTCTTGAGCATGCGCAGCAAGTACTCTACCACTGAGCTAAACTCAGCCCCACTTATAATTTTGAAAGATATTTTTATTAGGTATACACTTTAAGGTTGAGAATCTTTTTGTATTCTGGTTTTGCTTTTTGTTTTTTTGGGGTTTTTTTGAGATGGGGAGCAATTACCAGGGATTGAACCCAGAGGCACTTAACCACTGAGCTGCATCCCCAGCACCTTTTATTTTTTTATTTTGAAACAGGGTTTTGCCAGGTTGCTTAGGACCTCATTAAGTTGCTGAGACTGGCTTTGAGCTTGTGATTCTCCTGCCTCCTTGTGATCTTCTCAAGCTGCTGACATTATAGGTGTGCACCACCATGCCCATCTTTCTTTTAGTATTTTAAAGACATTGCTCTACTTTTTTCTTACTTGCATTATTTTCAACAAGAAATTTGCTGTCAGATTTTTCCTCTGAACAAAATGTGTCTCGTGTGTTTGTGTGTGCGTGTGTGTGACTGCTTTTAAAACTTTTTTTTAATATTTATTTTTTAGTTTTAGGTGGACACAATATCTTTATTTTTTATTTTCATGTGGTATTGAGGATCAAACCCAGTGCCTCACACATGCCAGATGGGCGTGCTACCACTTGAGCCACATCCCCAGCCCTGCTTTTAAAATTTTATCTTTAGTTTTGAGCATTTGGTTAGGATTAGATTTTGTGTAGCTTTCTTTGTGCTTCTTATGCTTGATGTTCACTGAACAACCTTGAGTAGATTCAGTAAGTTGTTTGAAAGCAGTTTGATCTTCTTGAGTCTTGCTTACATACCTTATAGGTGGGACCAGGGTTGGGTTTATTCTAGGAATGGTTATCCCCATTGTAATACAAGACCTTTCTCAGTCCTCTACCATTGTCCTTTGGACTGTGATGTTTTCTTTTCCAGTTGGGAGGTTTCCAGCCCTGCGTGTATGTCAAGCCTTATCCCTTATATTTCTTTCAGGTGGTTCTTTCCCTGATCTTGAGCAGTTTCCTCATACTCATATGTGGATCATACACCAATTGCCAAATTCTCCAAGGAGACCTGCTACAGATCTCTGGAGTTCTCTCTCTGCGCTTTCTGATCTCTGGTAAACTGTCCTGCATTCTCTAGCCATCTTGTTCTTCCTGGAATCTGAGTTCTACCTCCTCAAACCAGTGAGCTCTCGGAACTCCACCTGGCTCTCACTTCTCTGCACCATGTCCTCTGCAGGAAAGGAGCAGGGTCAGACTCAGCTTATTTGTCTTTCATCTCTCAAGTATCCGAGTACTTCATTGCCTAATGTCAAATGACTTAAAAGCTAGTATTTCAGATATTTTGTTCAGGGTTTAGACTCAGTCCCTGTTACTCCTCTTGATGAGACATCGAAGTCCATGTTATGTAGTCTAAATAGTATTCTTTTATTCAATTACCTCAAAATAGAAATAACCTTTATTTCCTCTGGTTAAAAAAACCCTTTAGTGATTCATTGCTTAAAGAAAACAAATAAAAATACAAAGAAAACTCAAGTTACCAGCTGGGCACGGTGGCACACTCTTAAAATCCCAGCGGCTTGGGAGGTTGAGGTAGGAGGATTACAAGTTCAAAGCCAGCCTGAGCAAAAGTGAAGCACTAAGCAAGTCAGTGAGACCTTGCCTCTAAATAAAATACAAAATATGGCTGGGGATGTGCCGCAGTCTGGCTGGGCACAATTCAGGAGCCACTTGTCAAAAGAAACTAACCTTATTTTTAGAACCACACATGCCAAACAAAACAGCTCCTCAGGAAAAACCCTCAGAGCCCAACTGCCACCACCGGCTTCCCACAAGCCTCTCAACCTTCCCCACTCCTCCTGCTCTTGAGGCCGATTGGCTGGGTTGCGTGGGCGGAGCCAAAAAAGTCCCCCAGTGAGCAGCTCCATGGTCTGAAAGGGCAGGGAAACAGCCCAATGAGCATCACCGCAGAGGAGCCAATCAGCTAGAAGTTGCTGGGGCCGCTGTGAGCCAATCATCAGCTGGCAGTCTGAAAGTTTGCTGGGGCCCCTTCGGCTGTGGCTCTCAACATCTCCCCCTCTCTGTTTAAACAACAAGCATGTGGGTTAGGGACCGTGCCTGCCTTAGGTTGTCCAATAGTACATATGGTTCTTACCCGTTATCGGATGAGCTGACCTCAAGGCGTAAGCCTCCTGTCTTAGGTTGGTACCATTGCAATTGGATCTTATCCGTCATTGACTACCGGTCCAGTATACAGCCACACCTGTAGATAGGTCTTTGTATCAGTGGGGGGGTGAGGTTCTTTGCCTCACCTCTGTTGGTCCCCAAATTTTAGCTGAACGACCATGACAAGCAGAAGGGAGGAAGATACACCAAGCCAATTGACGGTTCCTTTTGGAAAAATTGTACCACTGATGACATCATCAGCAAAAATACCCCAACACTACCACAAGTCAATGCACCAACAGATAGTTCACAATGCATACAGGTGAGTTCACAATGCATACAAGTGACTCATAGTCCAGGCAAGTTCTGCAAGCACATAAACAGACCCCCGACTCCAGACAATCACTGGGTCAGGACTTGGTTAATCTCTCTGGAATCCAAATTGGATGCTGTTCTCCCTGTGGAAACACACAAACAGACCCCCGACTCCAGACAATTACTGGGTCAGGACCTTTCCATTGTCCTGTTAGAATATCCTTCCAAAGTACCTTGGGCTTATGTACATTTTTTGGACACATATGCCTTTCCGCAGCACTAAGTCCTGATGAATCCAAATTTAAAAAGTTCAGAGTAAAAAGGGTTATTTTAAGTTTATCTTTGGGGAATATATACTGCTTCCCAATTACCTCTTTTTGCTTTAATAAGTACATTTTAATAGTTTGATGAGCTCTTTCAACTATGCCTTGTCCCTGTGGATTGTATGGGATTCCTGTTATATGAGTAATGCCAAATGATGAGCAAAATTGTTTAAAAGAGGTAGAAGTATAACCAGGGGCATTAGCTGTTTTTAACTGTTTTGGAACGCCCACAGTGGCAAAATTTTGTAAGCAATGAGCTATAATATCTTTAGTTTTTTCTCCGGCATGAAGGGAGCCCATCAAAAATCCAGAAGAAGTATCAACTGTAACATGCAAATATTTTGATTTTCCAAATTCTGTCAAGTGTATGACGTCCATCTGCCAAATATGGTTAGGTATCAGTCCTCTAGGATTGACTCCAAGATTAACTTGTGCTAAAAAGGTCACACAATTTTGACATTGTTTTATTATTTGTCTAGCTTTTTCCTTAGTTATTTTAAAATGCTTTTGTAAAGTATTAGCATTGACATGGAACTTTTTATGAAAATTTGTAGCTTCTTCTAGTGTAGAGAAAATATGTATGTCATGTGTAGTTTTATCTGCTAAATCATTGCCCAAACTAAGGGCTCCAGGCAATCCTGTATGTGCCCTGATATGTCCTATAAAGAATGGATCTTTTCTGACCCAGATTAGACTTTGTATAGTGGAAAGCAAAGAGAAAACAGTAGAGGAAGGGGAAATCCTACCAGTATCTTCAAGGGATACTATAGCATTAACTATATACTGACTATCAGAAAATAAATTAAATACAGAATCTTTAAACATCACAAAAGCTTGTAATACTGCATTAAGCTCTACCTTTGAGCTGATTTGGGTATTAAAAATGTGAAAGTTTGATCAGGTGTAACTATTGCTGCTGTACCATTATTTGACCCATCAGTGAATATATTTGGAGCATTCATGATAGGTGTTTTTCTTGTCATTTTTGGAAAAATTACAGGATGCAATAACCAAAAAAACAATAAAGGATTAGATGGTAAGTGGTTATCAAATGAAACATTAGATTTGCACATGATTATTGCCCAAGTATTTAACTCATTAGCTAACTCATCAATTTGATCCATAGTATATGAAGTAATAATTTTATTGGGAGAAATTCCAAACACTCTCTTTGCTGTTTTTATTCCTTTGAGTATTAATTGTCCTACAGCCTCAGGATACCTAGTAAGAATAGTGTTAGGAGAATAAGATAAATGTATCCATAATAATGGACCTTCTTACCAAAATACTCCTGTAGGAATATTTTTGTTGGTAGTACAATAAATAATAAAGGCAAACTTATATCAATTCTATCCAAATGCATATTTTCCATATATGTTTCAATGATTATTAATGCCTTTCTTGCTTCAGGCGTTAACATTTGGGATGAATTTGGATCTGATGGACCTTTTAGGATATCAAATAAAGGTCCCAACTCTCCTGTTGGTATACCTAGATAAGGCCTTATCCAATTTATGTCTCCTAATAACTTTTGAAAGTCATTAAGTGATTTGAGTTGATCTACTCGTATTTGAATTTTTGGTGGACGGACCATGGTTGAGGATAATAGAACTCCTAAATAATTAATTGGAAAATTTAATTTTACTTTATCTATTGCTATCTCTAGATTATAATTTTTTAATAAGTTTGTAAGTGTGGTATAACATTCCAGCAATGTGTTTTTATCTTTGTGTGCTAATAATACATCATCCATATAGTGAAATATTTGTAGTTCAGGATTTTGATTTCTAAGTGGCTGGATTACTTTGTTAACATAAATTTGACACATAGTTGGGCTGTTAGCCATCCCTTGAGGGAGTACTTTCCATTCATATCTCTGATCAGGACCTTCATGATTCAGTGCAGGGATAGTAAATGCAAAACGTGGACTATCCTCAGGATGAATTGGAATTGAAAAAAAACAATCTTTAATATCTATAACTAAAACATACCAGGTTTTTGGCAAAGCAGACAACTGAGGAATCCCTGATTGAGCAGGTCCCATAATAACCATCTCATTATTAATGGCTCTTAAATCTTGCAATAATCTCCATTTACCAGATTTCTTTTTGATGACAAAAATGGGAGTATTATGGGGAGATACAGAAGGTTGTATAAGTCCTTCTGCTAATTGTTGTTTGACCAGGTCATGGGCTGCTTGTATCTTTTCTTTAGTCAGGGGCCACTGAGGAACCCACACTGGTCTTTCTGATTTCCAAGTAATTTTTATTGTTCAGTGGCCCTTTCTGAAAATCCAGCCCATGTCTTCCTGTTCCTTGATCTATTTGTATTGGTGCTGCTATACCTTGTTCTTGTTTTTCTAATCTTTTTCCTTTCCTAAAACCTTGTCTAGTCATAATAGTGGGTGCATTTTGGTTGATGTTATTTGTTAATGTCAAACCTAATTGATCTAGGACATCTCGTCCCCATAAATTTATGGGAAGATGATCCAATACATATGGCTGTATAGTTCCTTCACATCCTTCAGGATCCTTCCAATCTAATACCATTGCACTTCTATGGGGATTAGTCGCCACTCCTAGGCCTCGAAGCGTTTGAGTGGCTTGTTGTAATGGCCAATGTTTTGGCCATTCTTGACGAGAGATGATGCTAAGGTCTGCACCTGTATCCAGTAGCCCATTAAATTCATGTCCTTGAATATTTAGTTTTAGCATGGGGTGAGAATCTAAATTTAAAGACAGCATAGCCCAATCTACACCTGTGGAGCCTAATCCCTTGGAACCTCTTTCTACAGCATGACTGGAAAATTTATCATGTAGGCTTGGTATTATTAGTAACTATGCTATTCTATCTCCTGGTGAAATTACTGATATACCCTTTGGAGAACTGGCTATAATTTTTATTTCACCTTCATAATCGGGATCAATTACCCCAGGACTTATCATAAGTCCTTTTAGAGTAGAAGAGCTGCATCCCAATAATAAGCCTACTGTTCCTTTGGGAAGAGGTCCTTTTACCCCTGTGGGAATGATTTGATCTCCCATCTCTGTAGTTAGTACTGATCTGGCGGAGGCACAGATATCCAACCCTGTGCTCCGTCTGGTTTGTCTGATGAGGGATCTGATGGACAATGTGTCCTGGGCACTACCCTGATGGGGTTGCTGGGTTCTTCCAGTGCCCTGTATATTTGTGGTCTTGGGCCCCGGAGCATTGGGTCCCCCTGTCCATTTTTTGGCAATGGAGCCCGATGCATTTCTCCACGATATCATGGATAAACACCTGGTCCTTGTTTGTTTTTTGATAATGGAGTACCCTCTATGGTGGTTTGAGAACGGCATTCATTAGCCCAATGTCTCCCTCTACGGCATTGTGGGCAAATACCCAGTATTCTACTCCTTTGATACCTAGTTTTGTTAAACCCTCCTCCTATGGGGCAATTCCTTTTAAAATGTCCTGTTTGTTCACAATTGTAGCATGTTCTTGGCCTGGCATCTAAAGCCTGTTTTACTGCAGCTGCCACAATTTGCCCTTGTTCATTAATGTCTCTGGCATCTAAAGCCTGTTTTACTGCAGCTGCCATGACTTGCTCTTGTTCATTAATGTCTCTACATAATTTAATATATGTGTTTAAATCTTCATGTTTCCATGGTCTAATGATATCTCTGCACCAACGATTCGCTTGCTCATAAGCCAGGTGTTTTAGTAATGGCATTGCTTGTTCTGTATTCCCAAAAACTCTGGTAGCTGTTTGAATAAGCCTATCTACAAATTCAGCATAAGGTTCATTAGCTCCTTGTATTACCTTAGATAATTGACCTTGTAAACCTCCATGTCCTTGTAAAGTCTTCCATGCCCTAACCGCCTCTGCAGCAATTTGTGCGTATACACCAGGATCATATGCAATTTGTTGCTGCTGATCCTCATAAGGTCCCTTTCCTAACAACATATCTAGATTTCTCTGAGGATAACCAGCTGCTGCATTTCGCCTAGCCATCTCCTTGCAAAATTCCTCATTGGCAACCTTCCATAACAGGTATTGTCCTCCATTTAGCACAGCTTTACACATATTAGCCCAATCTGCTGGTGTCATGTTCAAGTTGTTAATGGATTCGACCAAGCTTATAGTGAAGGGTGCTTGAGGACCATAGGTTGTTACAGCCTCTTTTAGTTGCTTCACTGTTTTGAAATTTAAAGCATAGTGAATTCGCTGCCCTCCTACCTCAAATACAGGGCATGTTAATATTTGAGATCCTGTCTCAGGATCCCAACTATCAACTGTGGGGGTTGGGGGCCTCCCAGCATATGGAGGTGGCCTTGTTAGTTGGACATTTACATCCTCTGGTGATAGAAAGGTGTGAGTAGCAGTCTCCTGTAGAGGTGGCGCTGTTGGTTGGACACTTACGCCCTCTGGTGATAGAAAGTTGTTAGTAGCAGTCTCCTGTTGTAACTTTCCCCCTGATGGCTTTTTCTGCTCTAAGCTTTCTTCCTCTGTCTTTGTCTGAACTGAAGGCTTTGGACTAAGCAAACCAGATACGAAAGTCCACAATGGCAATGTGCCAACTGGCAGAGTCCCTGGGCTGTTCTTTTCTGTTCTTTTTAAATCTTCACCATGATGGTTCCATTGTGATATATTCAACAACTCCTCCTCAAAAAGCCATGGGCTACATTTTTGTATTGTATCAAT